CAGTCTCATGGGTCGGCTCCATTACACCGATTCATACATCCTCGGAAAGTCGGGCCGTTTAATCATGGCTGACATTCGCTCGTGGGCAAAGGGGCATTGTTCTGACGAGTTGGTCTTGGACGATGCAGCGAGAGATTCGCTGCGTTTGTTCATTGCACGTCTCCGTGCGTGTGAGCCTCGCCAGGTGCCGTGTGGCGTGGCAGACCACGTGGTGCACGTCTTCACGGATGGTGCCAGTGAGGGTGCAGTGCACTCGATTGGTGGGGTTTTCAGAGTCATTTTTGGGGTTTTCCTTTGAGGTTTGAAAATCCTTTTATGAAAAAGTCGATGATGAATTTATGATGATGACTGATGGTCGCTTCGACTTCGATTCGATGAATTATAAAGATGATCGATGATCTGATGAATCTGATCTGATGATCCATGATCCATGATCAGATCCCTGATCACCCTGATCCTGATCCATGGTCCATGGTCCATGATGCCATGATCGATGATGATTGCTTGTTGACAAAAATTCGTTGAACGAACCAAGACCGAGAGCAATGCAAGACTGAATGAGATGAAATGATTCGAATTTCAAGGGCCTGGGCTGGGCCTGGGCCTGGGCCTGGGCCTGGGCCTGGGGCCTGGGGCCAGGGCCGGGGCCGGGCCGGGGCCGGGCCGGGGCCGGCCTGGCCAGGCCCAGACCGAGGTCGAGACGTCTTTTGCTCTGTCAGTGTCATGGGTCGAGTAGAGTCGGAGTCAGTCAGAGTTCCTCATCCTCATCATCATCAGCCGATCATCAGCACTCAGACTCAGAGGCAGAGGCTCAGGCCTCAGGCCTCAGGCCTCAGGCCTCAGGCCTCAGGCCTCAGGCCTCAGGCCTCAGGCCCCAGGCTCAGGCTCAGACTCTGACTCTGACTCAGACTCTGACTCAGACTCTGACTCAGACTCTGACTCAGACTCTGATTATCTTTGATTCAGAATCATATCACAGTCACAGCACAGTCATGCAGAATCACAGTCACAGTCACAGTCACAGTCACAGTCACAGTCACAGTCACAGTCACAGGCACAGTCGAGTCGAGTCGAATCATACCGGTCATGCCATAGACTCTATAGATGATTATAGACCGTAGCCGCCAGTGGGCCGCCAGAGTCGCCAGTCGCCAGAGTATGCCAGAGAGCCAGAGAGTCATGACATGACTCATGACAGTCATGAGTCATGAGTTATGAGTCATGAGTCATGAGTCATGAGTCATGAGTCATGAGTCATGATGAGTCATGAGTCATGATGAGTCATGAGTCATGAGTCATGAGTCAACAGTCATGACATGACATGAGTCATGAGTCATGAGTCATGAGTCATGAGTCATGAATCATGAGTCATGAGTCATGAGTCATGAGTCATGAGTCATGAGTCATGAGTCATGAGTCATGAGTCATGAGTCATGAGTCATGAGTCATGAGTCATGAGTCATGAGTCATGAGTCATGAGTCATGAGTCAACAAAGTCATTGCCATTCATATTCATAGAGTCGAGTCATAGTCCATAGTCATAGTCATAGTCATAGTCAGAGTCATAGTGTCATAGTGCCATGGCAGCCATGGCCATGGCATGGGCATGGCCATGGGCCCCATGGGCCATTGCCCGGTCAGAAAGCATTCGCACGCTTGAAACACAAGAAGGCAGCCGGGCCGGACGGAATTCCGGCGATAGTCTTGAAATTTGCTCCTAGATCGGCCCATATTGCTTTCCTAGCACACTTGAATAAAGCTTTCAAGGAGGCCGCGTCGCCTGATTCCTGGAGAATATGTGATGATTTTTAAGGGAAAGAAAAGAGATCCAAGATTCCCTGAAAGCTACAGGCCATTTTCACTCATCAACACGGTCTACAAAATTTACGCTTCCATGCTCGACAATCGGCTTCAGAATGCCATCGATGATCGCATTTCTCCCGTTCAGTTCGGAGGTCCACCTTTTCCCCGCTTTTCAAAATCCGGCGCTTACTAGAACTCCACGAGCGACACCGGGAAATATTTTCTGCCCGGTTAGTAGACTGGGCCCAAGCCTTTGATTCAATCACTCGTTTACGCCCTTCTGCTGGTCGGGGTTCGTCTTTTGTCTATTGACCAGGGATCCCAGTTTATTTTAAAGACTCCTCTACTCAGCAAACTTCTCCAGAGGCATTAGACAAGGATGTCCACTCTTTCCATGTTGTTTTATTATCACCCTTTCAGTCCTATTCCAAGAGCCCGTTTACAACCTGCACGACCTCGTTTGGACCGCTCCCCACAGTCCTCCAAACCGATCCTTCGCTCTGCGACATGGAGTACGCTGATGACACAGTCTACTCTCTTGCACCCAAAGATCCTTACTGTACATCGATTACCCCTCTGCCTATTTACTTCATTAGTAACTATGTGCTTCTGTGTCAGTGCGACTTTTGCCTCGACACGCAGTATCCCAAATCTGACCCATCTCCAAAAAGCCGGAAAGTGAGCAACGCAGGAGTGCCTTTGCGATCCAGGTTTCTGCCGGTTTCAGCTGTTCAGAGCTGGTTGTCGTTGGAACACGGTGTGCCGGGGGGGGGGAAATGGTGGGGTTTGGTTCCGTTCACTTCCAAAGCTTTCAGTTCGGGCCGCGGAAACCCCCAAAACCCCAAACAGCGCAACCCGTAAGCCGCAAACTCAAGCCAACAACCTTAAAACCGCGCACCCCGACACGCAACCATGAACATGCCGGTTTCCACTAAGCGTCTGAACATCCAGCTGATGTCCCCCACCACCCCACCCCAAACCCCTTACCCCCACCCTCCCTTACCCCCCCCCCCCACCCCCACCCCCACCCCCACCACCCCCCACCTCCCCACCGAGCCCCCCAGACCATCAAAGCAAAACCGATTCAGCCGAAGCCAAATATTTCCAGAGCCTGTGCAGGCAGCTTCCCAGGCTGGTGGTAGTTAGCTTCAGAGCAGGTTACAAAACAGGTTCCTTGCAAGACTTCGGCAAAGGGGTTTTGAGTTTTTTCCATCTTTTTCCTGCAGTCCGTGGGGACGATGGGCTTTCCTGCTTGCTCGGCTGCGTCGTCTTCCTGCGCTCGGAAAACATTTCTCAGCCGTGTGTGCCTGGTTGGTTCAGTACCATGCCAGGATGGCTGCTTTCAGATGAATCCAGCTGTGAAGCACATGAGAAATAAAGTGGTAATCGTGAGGTCTTCGTAGTGCAAGAAATAGTGTGACGTGCGAAAATGCATCGGAACCCCTTCCCGTACTCATTCCTTTGCAAGAATACCAAGAACCTTTTTTTGCGTTGAGCCTCTGAAGACAGTTTTCTCCGTGGAAACGTGTGTTGTCTCCGCGTGTTTTGGGGAGTGCGAATTATTGACCACTTTGAGGCCGCCTAGCCTTTGGAGTTCACTAGAGTGTCTTTTCATTGGGCCCTTTACGCTCCGACTGTCTTCTGCAACACTTGGGCGTCCCTCGAAGAGGGCGTGAACTCGACCCGCCCCTTTTTCGCTAAAGAGGTTTTTTTGGGTTGCTACTTGGTTGGGTGGCGCAGTGTACATTCCAGATTTTGATTTGTCCAAGCCTTGGTGTTCTTCTCACGTGGTGGCCCAACGTGGGTCGCTGCCTTCGTTGCCTTTTCTCCTGTGATGCTTTGAGGCCAGGCCTGTCGCATGCTTTGCAGGTTCAGGATTGGCAGAAGGGCTGGTGACAACACTTTTCGCCGCCCAAGACATGCAACTGCTGCTGGTGAATCCTGAAAGCTGCTTCACATATTGAAAAGTGGCTCCTTTGGTTGACATCCCTCAGAACGATTCTGCCCTACGCAGCTCCTTCTGGTAGCTGCAATATGTGCTCCAACAAGCTCTGCCTTTGTTTGCAGCAAGGCGTATGGATGGAATGTGCCACTTGTATGATTTGGCGTGTGTCAATCCCTTGTTACCCTTCAGTTCTGATGGACATTTGTGGAAGTGCGCCGTCGTTCGTTTCGTATTTTAAATGTCACCTTGGAAGGCTCTGGTTCTTAGGTTGCGCGGCCCCTTTACGGGGCGTTGCCTGCTTTACCTCTTTCGCGCTTTTTGTACAGCCTGGATGCATCACGTGTCGATGTTCTGGCGGGGCCGTGAGGAATCGTTTGCGTGTTTATGCATCCAAGCTGGCTGGTAAGAGAACGTTCGTCGTTGTTCAAAGAATAGCTCTTCAGTTCGGCAAGAACGATTGAAATTTCCAGGCGTGCCAGGATTGAGTTCACCTTGTTTTAGACCAGTTGCGTATATTTGACACAGGTTGACAAGGAGACGTTTGCCACCAATGTGCACACATACACGAAAGGCAAAGCATCTGTTTGAGGCACGAGGCTCTCGATGAAGACTTGGGTATTCCACAATGCTCAACATCATCCAATCCAAAGGCAGTGCGTCAGATATGCCGACAGCTGACAGTGCTGATATGCTCTTTGGAAAGCTCATGTTTCTTTTCTTGATATTGATCCGGCGCCACAAAAGTGGCAAGATTTGCATCTCGGACTGTCAAGAGATGTTCGCATGAAGCTCTTTCCAGATGGTTCGATGCGATTGCAATTGAGTTGCAAGAAGCAAGACATCCTAACTAGCATTGAGTAGTGGATCAAAGTGCTGAAGGCAGTTTGGTTTTGGTCATCGTGATCTGTTGGTAATTGGTTGTCAGACTGACGCAAACATTCAGTTTCACGCACGACGGCATGCATGCACATGTGCCTGTGGAATCCCTGCAGCTAGACAAGATCTCGCAGCAGGTTGCAGGCTGGAAATTCATGGTCGGCAACTCCTGGGGGTAAGGTATACAGCCTCTGTCAGGGCACCCGCATGTGATTGAGATGCTTTGGCCTGGACCAATGACGATGCCACGATGTTGTCTTGAAATAGTCCAGGTTTCAACGTCCCAGCCAACAGAAAGGGAACGACCCGCCACATGAATTGGCTGGCATGTTACGCTTTGTGGCATCTTCTGACACTTCAGGCGCTGCGAGCTGTCATGGCGAAAAGAAAAAATAAGGTGAAGCGAAACCCGAAGGGCGGTGGCCCAAGTTGTGGGATGTGCAAAGCTGAGTCACAGTTTAGTGCATTGAGACTCGTTTGGAACATTCTCATGCCAGGCTAATGAGTCCATCGGTCTGTGCTTGGTATCCAAGGAGGCATAAAGAAAGGTGACAAGATTCATGGGCAAAAGAAGGGGAAAAAGGGTGAGGCTGCTGCGTATGTGACCCGAGCGCAGGCTGGGTACTGTGAGGGCTTGTGCATTTTCTGCATCAGCCACGCCGTTTGAGGCTTTGGCAAAGCTGCAAATACCGCTGGCGGATTTCCGCAAGCTTTGCATTCTGAAGGCCATTCGCCTGTTTCTGTTGGGACGAGTGCATACAGCAACTGCACAGTTTGTTTTGTTGCATGTTGCTTGGGCACATGTTGGACACAGACAATGTGTATTCTCTTGGAGGTATCATGCATGTTGTGCATGCTCAGGATAGATCTCTTTTGCAGGAGGTAGCTGAAAAATGTCTCGAGGTGACCTTTAATGGACCTGAGGGCCTTGAAACCCCCCAGGGCCTTGAAACCCCCTATCGGCAAGCAAGGAAGGCCACCGCAAATGTCTCCTTGTGTTCGTTTCCCTTTCGCTTTCGCTCGCTTGCAATGCTTGTGTTCTTGCATTTCTTGCTTGGGCGTGCTCAGGGAATCTATCCTCGGGACCCCAAGAAGAAGGCTCATGGCAATGACAAAACATACTACCACCAGAAGGATATCGCTTTTCTGAGGCATGAGCACGGTGCTCGGCCTTTCTAGTATTTCAGCGTGGTTGCAGCTGTTGCAAGTTTGGACGTGCTCCACGGGGGTCAATCCAAGGCCATTGCTCAGCAAGTTCTTCGAGCTGAAGACCTTCATGAAGAAGTCATCTCCCCACGTTGATGCATTTTCGATCATGTGTCTGGCCGTGACGGGAGCCTTTTGCCATGGCAGGTTCAAGCGCCTGATGGGCCGACGTGAAATCAAGAGCGCCAGACGCTTCGAGGAGCCGCAGCAGTGTGTCCTAAGGCGCACGTTATCGCACCTTCGAATACGTTTCAAAGACATCCCGAATACATTCTGCACGAGCTGGAACAGCCATCATGAAGTGTTCGCCGTTCTTGACTCCCAAGAAGCCCTCTAGCGTCACCCACCGTTCGCCGGCCTCACACATCCGAGTGGAACACTTCACGCACACGGATGCCCAGCTACAGCATGTAGTACAAGTAAGTGCACAAGAAGCTTTGTTAGGTTTTGGTAAAAGAGCTGGGCGGAGCAAGCCGCAGCAGGTCCATCCATGGGGTGCCGCAAAAGACAGCAGAGCCGGTGAGGGGAGGGAGGGGACTTTCGGTTGGCATAGGAAACTGACATAAACCGACCACGACAGAAAGCCGAAAGGCGGGAAGGGGCGGGGGTAGAGGGGAAAGGGCCTCATGGAGTTGTCATGTGTATCGGAAGTGTATGGAAGAGTAGTTGGGCAGTGCGATGCAGATAGCAAATGTTGTGGCATGGCTTTTTCATAGCACGGTTGAAGATGCTAACACACATGGTGATGGCCTTCATTCTTTCTTTTGGATTTCTTGCGCATGGAATATGAAGGCGGTTGCTCAGGGCTGGAACATGTTGCGTGGTTTGTTGCACTCCCTTCAGATAGCATAGGAAGCTTGCAGGAGAGAAAGCCAAAGTACACGCTACATCATCTTGTGCGAGAAAGGCCACTGCGTGTCCTGCTCTGCAGTTTGAAAGCCAACCGTGCATGGCCTTGGAGCGTAGCTACGGAGACGATGCACTTGCTGTGCTAGGCATTGATTAGCCCGTTCATCTCTGCACGTAGCTTATGTTGGATGAATCTCTCTCTCTCTCTCTCACTCTCGCTCTTGCTTGTTTTTGTTTTCTCTGTCTCTCTCTTTCTCTCTCTCTCTCTCTCTCTCTCGCGTCTGCACGTTCAAAGCAGAAAATGCTGTGAAGTACTGGCAGAAAGATTCTGAATGTGCTGATCTGTGCACGTGGTGCATCACTCGTACGGTGCCATCGATCATGATGATGCATCTAGGGTCGCAATTCTTTGTGCACCCAAACTAGTAACCTGCAGCTTTCCACAGATCGCTTCCCCGACTGGCCGCTGCATTGATGCGGCACGTTGGCCCATGAGCCAGTGAGCCAATCTCGTGACATGGCCGGAAGCACACTGTGGGTTGGAGAGAGGAAGTGACCTGGCGTACCGGGGCGTCCCCCAACGCGACATGGCGGTTTCCCTATGCAATCAGTTCCCCCCCACCATGCAGCCTTCTGCAATCAGAGCTCGAGCTCCACTCCTCTCTCCTCTCTCCGCCATCAGGGGCCCTGCATGAACTTCAACACATGACGCAGACACGAGCATTTCGAGCCCTGTTTCAAGCCCGAAGCAGACCCTGCCGACCCCACCTTGGGATTCATGGGCTAACGGGAACAGGAGTGCAAACTTTGCAGAAAGAAGTTTTCCCATCCGACTCTGTTTGGTGCTCAACTCATGACGGACGAGCGTAACTACAGAATGTGGCCTGTAGCGGCCCTGCTGTTTCGCCAAGGGGCTCTTGCCACTGGAACTGCGGTGCACCTCCGCGCGCCCGTTGTGCCCCGATTGCTGTGCTTTCAAAACCCCGAAAGTTTTGGGCTATTTCGGTGGGTTATACCTACATGCGTATGTTATAACCTTTACAGACGACGTTGTGCTGTTACCCTGGAAAACTTCCTGCATTTGGAGCGCCAACGGCAGACAGCCTGCGACGGCTTTTCCGCGTCACCTATTTGATTCTGCGCATTAGAGCTGCGCTCTACACACACCCAGCCCCCTCGAACCACATAGGGAGTTTTCGACAAGTTGGCTTATGAGAACGTACTTTCTGTGTTTCCATTGGCATGTAGACATGTGTCGACGATGCACATGGGCAGTGACGACGCTTGCGAAATCCTTTTTTTGCACGCATGTGAGTTAACATTACTTGCCTGAATATCGAGTTCGGATGTCGCACTCGCAGCTTTTTGGTAGGTGTTTAGTTTGCTTTGCTTGCAAGCTCACAGCGAAGCACTTCCGAAACGCTGCCAAGTTTCAAACATCACATGCCGCGAGATTGTAGTTCAGCCATCTTCGTCAGAGTTGACTTGTGGCCGACGATCTTGCGAATCCATATTTTGGTTGTGGCAGTTTCGGGCTTTCTGCAATTCGATTGGCATGTGTTTTACCAGCAAGGTTCATGGCATGGTGCCTGTGCAGGTATCCATCCTTCGATGATGCCATCCGTGATTTGGATGATGCGGTGAAGCTCTTGGTATTTGCTGCCATGACATTTGATGCTGTTGTGTCCTTTCGTTGACTAGGTGAGTATGTTGGCTCTTTTCCAATCGCTGTCTGCAGACCAGGCTGGGTGTATCTCCTGGTATAAAACGGGGCCCCAAGAACTGAGTCGATTTCCCACCCTTCAAGCAGACGAACTCGAGAGTGTCGCAGCAGCAAGGCCCGCAGCCATGTTTCCGTAGCAGGACCCCGTGCTCTAGAACCCGCCAGTGTCAAGCATTTTTTTAATCGTGCTTGCAAGAGAAGCGAATCAAGGCTTCGGGTCATGAGCCATCTCTACGAAACTCGTCTTACAGCCATGTGTTTCGACAGTCCTAACCCGGGTACATCCATCCTTGACATGCAGACGGCAGTGAGTGCAGCCATGAGAACTGGGTCTAGGTGATCTCGGTGCCTTTGACTATGGCATGATCATGTGCCTTCGTCAGCCTTTTGCAAACTTCCCATCGCAGGCCAAAGACATACCCGTCGAGGCCATCACCGAAGCAACGCAGCTCTATCAGGATCTGCTGCAGGCAAGACTTCATATGCCCGATTCTTTGTCTTCGCACACAGGAGTTTCAGCTGTACGTGATCCGCGCGCAGGCTAGAGGGATTAATTCCTGTCCTTGTCCTTTTATTGTTGTTGTCATTGTTGCTGTTGTCAGTATCGTTCACAGCAGATCTTGTGTTGGTCACAACGCTTCAAGCTGTCAGGCTCTGCGCAAAGTCTTTGCATCCATCAAGGGCTATTACTTTCAGGCCGTTTGTCGAAGCACAGTAAGACAGCGGAATGGCCACAACCTATACTTGCAGAATGCTCTTGGGTTCGTTTCGTTGCTTTGTGAACATTTCCTGGCTTGCAAAAGACAGGTCGTCCACCCCTACCACCCCGCCGCACATCTGAACATGATGGCAAAACCAAGCAGAAGAGATGACTAAACAACATCTGGGTGTTTTCTAGTCGTGTATACCTGTGCATGACCTGTGAAGTGGTTTTACGCTTTACAGATTCGAGAATATCGGGGTTAGGGGCTCAGAGTTTCAGGGTTTAGGGTTTCGGGATTCCAAATGGTTTTTTGGGGTCTGCAAAAAGCACGTTGGGTCTCGTCGGCGCGTTGCTTCGGCGTTTTTACGGTTAGGGATTCGAGAATATCGGGTTTTGGGGTTCAGAGTTTCAGGGTTCAGGGTTTCGGGGTTCAAAATGTATGGGTGTCGTCGGCTCGTTGCTTCGACGGTTTTACGCTTTACAGATTCGAGAATAATGGGTTTAGGGGCTCGGAGTTTCAGGGTTTAGGGTTTCGGGATTCCAAATGGTTCTTTGGGGGCCTGTAAAAATCACGTTGGGTCTCGTCGGCGCGTTGCTTCGACGGTTTTACGGTTTAGGGATTCGAGAATATAGGGTTTTGGGGTTCGGGTTCCGGGTTTCGGGATTCAAAATGCACGGGTGTCGTCGGCGCGTTGCTTCGACGGTTTTACTGTTTAGAGATTCGAGAATAATGGGTTTAGGGGCTCAGACTTTCAGGGTTCAGGGTTTCGGGATTCGAAGAGATCTTTTGGGGGCCTGTAGCAAGCACGTTGGGTCTCCTCGGCTCGTTGCGTCGACAGTTTTACGGTTTTGGTATTCGAGAATTATTCCAAAGGTTCTGATGTGGTTTTGCTCCGACGCTTGGTCCAGCAGCGTTTTGTGCACACACACACACCGCATGGAACTCGGCCGGTTCCACGGACCGCCATGGCAAATCGCACTGACATCCTCCACGTTCACTTCGCAACTTGGCACCCCGCGCCTTCGGACATTCCTTGTGGAGCACTCATGCTGCAAAATAAGTGAGAGCACAGCGAACAGCACAGATCAAGATCGTTCCTGCTGCAAAACACACCTAACTGCTGAAAACCCATGAATCCAGAAGTTAAAAAGAATTAAATCCTGATTTAATTGCTGCTTCTGGGCTGGGTTTTGACCTACCTCGACATACCTTGTCCCTACAAAAACACAATCAAATCGTGATTTAATTGTGTTTCTTTGCGTTTGACTGGAAGACAATTACATCGTGAGTTAATGGTGTAGCAAAGACTTGTGCTAATTGGTACCTGTTTGCACCATTAAATCATGATTTAATTGCACTATTATTATTACTATTACTATTAGTCTTATTGTTACTATTACTATTAGTCTTATTATTCCTATTACGATTAGTCTTATTATTACTATTACAATTAGTCTTCTTATTACTATTAATAGTAGTATTTTTATTACTATTACTATTACTATTCCTATTCCTATGATTATTATGTTTACTACTATTATTATCCTTATTCTTCTTCTTATTATTCTTATTACTATTACTATTACTATTACAATTACTATTACTATTGCTATTGCTATTGCTATTGCTATTGCTATTATTTTTCTTCTTCTTATTGTTACTACTATTATTATTATTATTTTTATTACTACTATTATTAATTATTCATAGTAGTAATCATTATTACTATTACTATTACATTTCTATTACTATACTTTACTATTCTTCTTCTTCTTATTGTTACTACTATTATTATTATTCTTATTATTATTATTATTATTCCTATTATTATCATTATTACTATCGCTATTATTATTGCTATTATTATTACTATTCTTACTACTATGATTATTATTATTACTATTATTATTATTGTTATTACTATTATTATTATTATTATTACTATTATTATTACGATTATGATTACTATTATTATTACCATTACTTTAGGGGGAACAATTAAATAGTGATTTAATTGTTGAAAGGTAGGGGGGAACAATTAAATCGTGATTTAATTGTTTCTGCGGGTTGGGATCGTCTAGCAGAAACAATTAAATCCTGATTTAATTGTTTTCCTTGAGCAGCTTGCCGGCATGGCTGCGTCGCGCGACGTTAACAGGCAATTAAATCGAGAGTTAATTGTGCTGGAGCTAAGGGGCGTCGAGCCGGCCCGATGCCGGTCAATTAACTTCAGAGTTAATTTTCCTTAACTCTTGGATTCACTGTCTTCCCCTAACTGCTGTTTTGATCTTTTCGGCTCGGCATGCCCTTAGGGCTTGATAGGCTCTCTGTCTGTGTGGTTGACTGTTTGGTCCAACGCATGGACTGACAAGTTTCCATTACGTGCGCTGGCTTTTGGTTTTGTGAAGTTAGGGCTTAAGTTGATGACATGGGCGCTTTGCATAGCATTTTCCAACCTGAGAACGATGTCCAAATCCTGAAAAAAGCGGGCCTTGCTTTTATGGATTCAGGGCTCTTTCACTTTGCTAGAATGGCTTGCAAGATCGCCGCTTGGTTCGTGGATCTCGGGTGTAGCAGCCAGCTGGGGCTTGCAAGGTCAGAGCGTAGTGTGCGGCGATGTCTGGTGTTGCATGTCATTGAAAACCAGCGTTTGTGCGAGCGATTCTGCGTGTCGCTCAAGAATGGGTTGGCATAGGCTTCGACGTTGTTTCGTGGAAATGTCTGACACCTCTGCCAATATTTGCTGGGGTTGGCACGACATGCAAGTGAGGTGTGATGTGACTTTTGACATTGCTGCGGCTCATTGCTGTGACTCCCTGTTATTTGGTTGAAGTGGTTCTGCATTTCCTTTGCAGGCAGACATCCTTGGCCATTCCGTGACGTGGCTGGCCCCTCACCAGTTTGCACAGGCGAGGGCTTCCAGGAATGTCATGCGAATTCACGTATACGTTGGTCCCTCACTGTGAGGAGCTTCCGGCAGAGGTGCGTACTCTTGTCCCAACGGATGTGTTTGCACAGCTTGTTTGTTCAGATGCACGGAGGTAGACTTTCGGGTCATGCTGACTTTCTTGGAGTTCTATCGTGCTATGGTCAAGCCGGCCACCGAACTTCATTTGGGCGATGCCACGTTGCAACTGTCAAGACCAGCTGGGAGCCCTTGTCAGACGAGGTTTGTCAATTTCCGGCTGTACAGCGATCTTGGTCTGTCATATCCGCCAAGGCTACCGGGATAGAGAGCATGCAATATTTCTTTCAAGGATTGCTTTGGGTATATATTTTGGTGTGATGTTTTCTTTTTGCTTTTGCCAGTCTCTTACCTGCCCTTCATCGCCTTTGGCTTCTTGCCTTTCGCTTCTTGTTTGTTTGCTTGTCGTCTTGCCGTGAAAAGAAGCACCATAGATCAATTGAAGGTGTCCAAATCAAAAGGACAAAGAAACATGTACTCGCCACTGGGAAACCCAATGCAAAACCGCGAACACAAACGGTAACAGCGTTGCAACTGCAAGTTGTAGTAGCATTTTTCTGGGTTTTGGGTCTAGGCCGAATCAAGGGCTGCAACGGGGCCCCTGCCCCCAGTCCCTGCGTACCAACGCCCCAGTCGGTTTAAAGTCGTGCAGGCTTGCTTTAAGGGATGAGTTGCCTCGAAGAGTTGAATCCCCATCCTTTCCAAGCCCATGATGCGAGCCTTGGGTTTGCAAATGGTGGGGCGGAGGTTGGCCCGTCCCCCCAACCGCCCCGCTACAGTAGCTTTCAAGCATATCATGCTGTCAAGGGAAAATTGCTTCCAAAGAAGCCTGTCCAAAGCCAGCAAGCATTGCATTTGCAAACAGTGAGGGGGCCACACCGCTTGCTCATCCTAGGAGGCTTCTATGTAACTTCTAAACTCAATACTCCTAAGCCCTAAAGCCCTGTGATGCGCTTTCCTCGTCTATGCTCTTTAGGTGACACGAAGCTCTATTTCCTCTAGACTTGAAAAGAAAGCCTCCGGAACCCAGCCTTGCCCTGACCGACGCAATAGGATCCCACTGGAGTTCCAAGTTGGGCTTTGGCTTTGGGATGGTTTGGCCTTCCATTGAATAATTCGCATACGGAGAAGTAGAAGCCGAGAAAGATTGAACTACGGAGAAGTATAAGCCGAGAGGGCATAGATACACATCTAATGCCAACCGCCCTAGAGGACGAAGGCAACCAATCCAGGAGCAAGATGCGAAGGTGCCGGAAAGTGTGTCAAACGTGCACAGGACATATATAGGCGGGAGCACCAGTTCGGTTCCGGAATGTGCACGAGACCTTGGTGAGAGCTCGAGCTGGCACACGCCCGCGAGGCCAAAAGCATGCCATTTGCGATCTTTTCCCAGACCAAAGACAAAAATGCACGAAAGCATAGAATACCTAAAAGAACTTCGCACCCTTCTCAATTTGCCGAACCCTCCAGTTTTTGCATGCGCAGCAAGGCGTGATGTTGTGCTGGAGCGGACGTCAGCGGATGTGGCTGCGCTCGAAGTGGAAATGCGTGAGGCAAGTCAACATGTGTGAAGCAGTAGACGCAGCAAGCTTGTTGCAGCAAGCTGTGGGTCTGTTAGCTCATGTTGGCCGAGGCTCAGAGTCTTTTGCACGCTTCCATGTCTCTTTGCATCGGTGCAGGTGGGGTTATGGCGAGAGCAGTCCAATGGCACATGGGTCAAATAAATTACCTCCGGGGTATTTTGCGGGTACCCCATGCTACCCTTATGAGGTCGCCATCACCTCCATTGTGGAACGAACACCAACCCCGCTCTTCTCTGCGCTGGCCTTCCAGCTTGGATCCACCGCAGCCCAAGACCATGTCTTTGACGTGGTCGTAAAGAAGCGGTCGTGGCCGTGAGGTACTAGTCGTGGTGGTAGACCATAGTCACCGCACTTTCTCACTATGATAGCTGAATCGTAGCAGCAGAAGCAGTAGCAGCAGCAATGCATAGGAGAGGGAGCAGGAGTGGCGGTAACAGGTGTGTCGCATAACAGTTACGTTAATTGATGCGATAGTGCGCAGCTGCCTCCATATTAAAACAGACGTTGGCAACCCACTTGGCAGGATAAGTAGAAAGCGAATACTGGAGATATAGGAAGTAGGAATGTGAAAACTGCTTGAGTTTAATTTAAGAAATGTTTAAGAATCAAGATGAAAAATCAAGAATCTCAAGACTCTCTGGACATGGAAATCTTGAAGCCTCACCCTCTGGACATTGAAATACAATTACTGTTCTCACCCTCCGGAGGTAGATTCTCCACAGGGGGCGGGGGGGTTCCATGTGTTTACCTTTTATTATATGTGTGTAGTATATTCTCTTTAGAATGTTATTTCCTATATACAAATATATATTTTTTTTATCATAAACCATATTAAATAAAGAAAAAACAAAAATGTATATCTATATGCTACCCCCCCCCCAGCGACCTACCCTTTTAAGGCCTTTTTCGGCCTTTTTAACAAAAAACCAACAACGAAGGCCCAAAAGTCGCGTAGTTAATCGCCGGGTAATGAAGGACAGTTACACCTCACAGACCCCGATAAGCCAGCATTGGATTAATCTACATTTTGAATCTGAAGGGACAATGCTGTTTTTAGATGTTTAGATCTGTATTTTTCTATGCAATTGTGCGTTTAAAGGGCAATTAATGTTTTGTTGAGCAACTAGTTTATTTATACATTTGTGTTTGTACGAGGCAAAGTATTAATCAAATAGTGAAACGTTTTCTTGATTCTATGCGAATTTAACTACTAGAGTAATTATTAAGCAAAGAGCCCAATTTGACTCAACTGAATACTATTTGAAGGAGCATACTCAACCAAGATACGAAATAGACACCATTCTCAACCAAAACAAAGTGTGCGTTTAAAGGGCAAATAATGCTTTGGTGAGCAACTACTGTATTTATACAATTGTCTTGGTACTAGGCAAAGTATTAATCAAATACTATCTGAAAAGTCTACTGAAATACCTTATGTTTACATATTCATGAAACTTTTTTTTATTTTTGAAGTAATCATTCTGTGCGAATTTAGCTAATAGAGTAATTTTTTAAGCAAATAGACTCCCGTGAATACCATGCAAAGGACCATACTCAACCAAAATACGAAATAAACACCATATTCAACCAAAATATGGCAAAGTGTGGTTTAAAGGGCAAATATTGCTTTGTTGAGCAACTAATGCATTGAAACAGTTGTGTTTATACCAGGCAAAGTATTATTGAAATACTATCTGCAAAGTCCACTGAAATACCTCATGTTTACATATTCATGCAAAAGTTTGTATAGTAGAAATATTCATTCTCTGCGAATTTAACTACTAGAGTAATTCTTAAGCAAAAAGCCCAATTTGACTCAAGTGAATACTATTTAAAGGACCATTCTCAACCAAATACGAAATAAACACTAACGGAAATGGAAGCGGTTCTACCTACATAACAATGAAACAAAGATTGCTGAAGTATTCAATAAAGACCACTTATATACTATGTCTGAAAAGCACAATTTGCATAAGCAAGCTTAAAAATGCACAATAATGGAAATAGAAGCGGTTCTACTTACATAACGATGAAACGAAGATGTCTGAAGTACTCAATAAAGACCACTTATATACTATGTTTGAAAAACACAACTTGCACAAGCAGACTAAAAAAATGCACAATAATCCTAGAAAAGTACTTAGTGAAGGCCATACACAAGCAAATTCACAAATACAAAAAAACATCCAAAAGCGCAAGTTTTTCAGGAGAATCTCTGGTGAAATTTTGGATTATAGCGTGCTGGGGTATCCCTGGACGAGTAGGAGTCACTTTTTAAGCGAACAATTCTAAGCAATAAATGCTTTTTCTCAAGACAAGTATTGCAAATGCTGCTTCTAGATAATTAATCGCTTTTACCAGGCAAATATTATCCATGCGAATTTAGCTACCAGAGCACCAAGTAATGGCTGAATAAGGTCTACTACACTTGAGCACAACCAAGAGATGCACAAAACACTACTTGAAAAAGAAGCGAAGCGGTTCTACTTACATAATAACGAAACAAATAGTTCTGAAGCACTAAAAGACCACTTGTATACTATTTCTGAAAAGCACAATTAGCATAAGCACACTTAAAAATGCGTAGTTGTTGCCTCGTGACCGTGAAGGCGAACCAAAAAGCCAAAATACCAAAACCAAAATACCCAAAAACACCAAAACCAAAAAAACCCAAAAAACCAAAACCAAAAAAACCCCAAAAAACAAAAAAACAAAAAAAACCAATTTTCCGGGACTCTTGGAGAAGCCTCATAGGAATTCCTGAGAGTTCCGATTTTTTTTTTTGTTTTTTTTGGTTTTGGTTTGTTTGGTTTTTTTGGTTTTGGTATTTTTGGTTTTTGTTGGTTTTGGCATTTTTGGTTTTCTACTGTCCCGTGTATGCGAATTTAGTTGTATTTTAGTCTACGCCGTAGGAAATACGCTATATTGCACTCAGAGTTTGCTTGCAGTGCAGCTGGGTGACTTGAGACAAGGCGAAAAAGGGTAGGTCACTGGGGGGGGGTACCATATATGCTACCCCCCCCCCCAGCGACCTACCCTTTTTCGGCCTTTTTAACAAAAAACCAACAACGAAGGCCCAAAAGTCGCGTAGTTAATCACCGGGTAGTGAAGGACAGTTACACCTCACAGACCCCGATAAGCCAGCATTGGATTAATCTACATTTTTCAAAGGGTAGGTCACTGGGGGGGGGGGGGTACCATATATATATATATATAACATAGCATATCGTATACAGAGCAAATTTATATATGAAATTATACTATTTTTTGTATATATGCATGTCTCATCGTATCATTTAGAGAATGACAATTAAAGGGCCAGATAAGCCCACGTGTCTACTCTTGTCTTGGCACCCATGGAGAGGAAAAGGACGGCGGGAAGTGTGGATACGGGGTCAATTGTACAAACACTTGCAGTTCAAAAGCATGATGGCGTCTATCAAACCAATTGAACCGACCAGGGTTGCGCTGTCTAGTTAGATATGTATTCCCCCAAGTTAACCTGATAATGATTTGAAGGCTTGTTCTGTTTGGGGACAGTACAGCATTTTGCTTGTTTTGGTTGAAAGATTGGTGTCTTTGGAACAGTACAGCACTTTGGGGAATATCTTTACAGGAGAGAAGTGCAAAAACGCTGTACTGTCCGAAAGAAAACAAACAGCATCTATAGAATCCTGGAGGCACTAAATGGCCTGGAGGTTCCAAAAGATATTTTTGTGACGGTGTGGGACTGCAAATACGTTGTACTTTGGCCATAGCATCAACCTTTTAGGGAAAAGTGCAAAAACGCTGTACTGGCCAAAGCCACAACACACAATCTTTAGAGACCTCGGGGCACTAAATGGCCTGGAGGTTCCAAAAGGTTGCATCTTTTGGGTTGTTTTGGGACAGTACAGCACCGTTGCTTTTTGTTTATGAAAACGATTGGTTTTTTGGGACAGTCACTCTGGAGGCTTGGGACTGCAGAAGCGCTGCGCTGGACAAAAAGCAGCCAATGTTTAGAGGACAACATGAATCCAGAAGGGGTGTGCTCCTCCAACAAGACAATGTTCTAAGGAAAAATTAGACCAGCAGGAAGTAGGCATTGGGGCTGGGTGGGGGGCGGGGGCGGGGTACCACATTATATATGCACATATTTATTTCTATAATCAAATGTACGAGTTTTGTATATACTATTGTATGATGCTACATGTATACATATTTGTTTTTTCAGTATATGTTTACTTTCTGATGTGTGGGTGTATATTCCGTTTTCTATACTTTAAAACAGCACTGCTTATATCGGTGTGGCAGCAAGCGGGCCTAGCCAATTGACACCAACACGATGCATGGTGTTGTGATGGTGTGGTCGGGAGTGCGGTGCAAGACCGGCAGAAAAGTATCAGAACCTGACAAAAGCAACTTGCGACAAATTCAGACCCGCCAACGGATGAGTCTGCAGAATTCAGTGTGTAGCTGTCATGGAAGCGAGTTCATCGACTGCTCGCTGCAGGCAGGAAAAGCGCAGCAGCTGCACAGCCAGGTCCCCGCTGCAAATGTGTTTCTCTTTGCAAGCTCTTGGGTCAGGCAAGCCTGCTTATAGACAAAGCCTGCTTCCTGTCTTTTGGGAAAGAAGCATCAAGGGCCTAGCAATGGTGGTTGAATTGTGGTTGAATGACTGTAAATATCCAATTGAAGAGGCTTGCAGTCACTGAGCCGCTTGAGCCCTATGCCATCCAATGCTTAGGCTTTGATGTGCAATCGTCCGGGGGATTCAATTTAGTACAAACTGCTTCTTGGATGGTGCGTCGACCACCGGTCATGTGAGTCTCGTTGCTCATGTGCTAGACACTTAAACGAAAAGTTGTGAGTGGTAAAGCGCTCAGTTTGGATGGCTTGGCATGTTTGTATGTGGGCCAGGACAGCACTGAAATTGAGACGAGCGTGTTGAAGGACTTTGGAGATCAAAGTGAGGCAGGCCAGATAACTCTTCAACACAGAATAGAGTTCCGCTCACACAGACCGCGATGACAACCGGCGGCAGCACAAGAATGCACCAGAATGCATTTCAGCATGTCTGAACCCGTGCAGGTGGCGGAGGCTTTAGCCGAAGCTGGAAGAATGAAGATACTTGGCAAAGTTATGCAAAGCCGAGCGACTTTTGTCACAACGCGGAAATGTTTAGTCAGTTGTGGGGTGCAAAGCTACCGCAGTGTGCCTGCCAGACCTTCAAGATCCTGAGTTTATTCGAGCCATCTTCTTCTACAGCTTGGATCTGGCTTTATTGCAACGCCTCATACACATGACTTATGCAGACCAATCTCGGTTTTGCTGTTTGGATCCTCTCTTTTGATGCTTGGGCCGCATTGGCCGGGGGCCGCCGTGGCTGCACGGTGCCTGAATCCTGGACTCTGTGTGGCTCTGTTCATCCATTCATGGCTCCCAGGTGGCCGGAAGCTGGGACCGCGAGATTCCCCCCTTCACGGCTTTCTTAGTAGGTATGTGTTAGAACCGCCTCCTCGCTCAATATGTATTCACTCGGCTCGCAGAAACTCCGTACTTGTGGGAAGGAGAAAAGAAGCGAGGAACACAACTAAATACCAAGACCCGCAACACAAGAAGGACCATTCAATGGTTCAACGCAAACACATACGCGACACTATGCGGACAAATCCTCACACCCTTCCCGTTACATAGCAGATCACCAAAGCGGGGCGCTGCGAGCCGGTTTGAGATTCAGTCCATCCTGTTTGGGATCCTCGCTGGTATAGTTGTAGTTTAAATGTAGTTTAAGTATGAAACGAGAAGAACAAGACACCTTTCGACTGGGGATGGGCGCCGGTGGCACAGTCCAAGTATCTGCAAAACCTTTCGTGTGGCATGTGAGCAGTGTGACATGAGTCCACGCCAAAACCAGTTTGGATTTCCTCCAGGTCAGCTCTGTCAGTGTATGCACATGAGCATTCGTTGCTGGATGGATTGCATGTCGCATGAGTGCGTGCACGAGGTCGCGGCAGTCTTGCTGATATATGAAGTCTTTAGCAAGAGAAGGGATGCACCAACAAAAGATGGCCGTACAAGGACTACGTTCAGAGGTCTTCGTGTCTTCGTCAACCGAGAAGTGCCGTTAAGGACCCGGGAGCAGTGGGTTGCTTGGCCGTGTCGCTCATGTGCTGCTTCTTCGGTGAAGGCCTTTATACTTTGTTCTTCTTTGTGGCGGAGTTGCCGAGGCCATGTGAGTTTCACAAGCCTTGTGATTTTTCTGCAAGGGAACCCTTCGTCATGCCTTGCAGCTGCGGGATCTTCGTCCCCGGTTGGGTGGGGCCTTGTTCTGACATGACAAACATGTGCCCAGCAACTTGTGTTTAGGGTAAGCCGATTGGCTGCTAGCAAGACAGCGACTGACAAAAAGGCTAAGGTACCATCAAAGCACCAGCGATGGGGAACAAGTTGGAACTAGAGTCCCACAATTGGCGCAGCAAGTCGAGATTCTTGTCTTCAGTTTCGGGGAGTTGCTCTGGCATAGCGGCATAGCCTGTTGAAGTGGCCAGACTGAGAGCTAGCTTTTGTCGTCCGGAAACAATGCAGCATTTCTTGACTTTTCTTGCCATATGGCTAGCAAGCGCATTGGTGCAACATTGAAGATACAAGAAGGCAGTGCTTAAGGCTCCCTACCTGCAAAGCCGTCCTTCGGCTAAGAACTAACTGTCTTGCAAGAAGAGAAGCTCAAGTTCCGTTCCGAATTTGGTATTTCATCGGATGGTGCTGACATGCAAGGTGGGTTGGGAGAGAGGCGCGCAAGCTGGTGAATCTGCGGGACCCGGATCCGCTTTTCCCATGGAAGGCAGCATGGCTGAGTGAAGCAAGGTCGTGTAACAGTACACGTGCCACCTTGTGTGTTTGTCCGGGTCCCCTTGGCTGGTACAGCTAAAGGCCCAGAACCGACGTCTCTAAACGAAGACTCCTAGAAGAGCGGCTGATGCGTCTGGCAGGTGACTCCATCACACATCAAGTAGTTGATCGGCCAGCGGGTTCTTTTGAAGTGCGGCCTGGCTCCCGCCTTACGCCTTAGGTCAACTTGTAGGCCGACCAAGTGTATCAGTCCCTGATGTTGATTCAGGACGTGAATACGTTCAGCCTCAGTGGGTCTTCGATTGCTTCAACATTGGCCCGCAGCTTGCGTGACAGTTTTGTTTTGGTTCAAGCTATGTGTCTTGCGACATCTGGGAGGTTGCTTGCTGCCCATTGCCCCATATGCGGCGGGTCGCACACCGCCACGTGCCAAGATGTGGCAAGAAGATTCGTGTCATGCTATGTTGCTGCTGTGATATCGAAATTTGTTGCTGGCCGTTCTTTGCCCTGAGGCCTCCTCACCTTTCACCCTTTGTGGATGCTTGCCTGCCTCGCTTCAGCAGGGCCTTTAACACGACTGTTTGCTGATTGTGTGTTGCATGTGAGGCTTGTCTCCAGCAAGCCAAGTGTAATGTCTCTCATATATCGAGGACAACCAAAACAAGAAAAACGACCACAAACATTGCATACATAGTGATGGTTTGGAGTTCTACATGCCCACTCGTACCGGCCACTGCATCATACTACTACTACTACTACTACTACTACTACTACTACTACTACTACTATTACTACTATTACTCTGACTACTACTACTGCTACTACTACTACTAATACTACTACTACTACTACTACTACTACTACTACTACTACTACTACTACTACTACTACTACTACTACTACTATAACTACTACTACTGCTTGCGTTCCTACTAGGTGCGCGGCGTGTTCACGCCCCTACAACGGGAAGCATGTTTTGGGGAAGGGGGGTTCAGGAAACACTGGCAGGCGTGGGTTATTCATGAAGTAGAGTCATTTTGGTGATTTGGAGGAGGGCCCTCTCACACTACTGGGTATTTTTTGTCAGATACGAGTTTGATGGCAGCAACAGGATTATGATGGCAGGGCGGCTTGTGGAGGGGCATGTCCGGAAGTCATCAGGGCAGTGACTTTTTTTTGAAAACACTGTAAATACCAGTGTTTTGGGCATGGTCGCCAAAGGCAAGGACGCTTGTGAATGCTTTTCTTGTTCCACATCCTTCCGCAGTATGTTGTACAAGCGGCGGAAATGCTGTAAATACCAGTGTTTTTGGGCGTAAACACCAGTGTTTTGGGCATGGTCGCAAAAGGCATGGACGCTTGTGACAACGTGTCTTGTTCCACAACCTTGCACGGTGGGTTGTACAAACTGGGAAAACGCTGTAAATACCAGTGTTTTGGGCGTGGATGCAATATGAATGATGTTCTTATCCCCCCCCCACCCCCACCCCCCCCACCCACCCCCCCCCCCCCCAAACCCGCAAGGAAAGAGGAAATGCCTGAGCAAGTGCTGAAAAAAGTAGGGGCGGGAACGCGCCGCGTTCCTACTACTACTACTACTACTACTACTACTACTACTACTACTACTACTACTACTACTACTACGTCTACTACGACTACTACTACGACGACTACGACTACGACTACGACGACGACGACTACGACTACTACTACTACTACTACTACTACTACTAAAACTTCTACTAGTACTACTACTATTATTACTACTGCTACTGCTACTGCTAGTAGTAGTAGTAGTAGTAGTAGTAGTAGTAGTAGTAGTACTACTACTACTTCTACTTCTACTTCTACTTCTATTACTACTACTACTACTACTACTACTACTACTACTACTACTACTACTACTACTACTAGTACTACCACTATCACTACTACTACTACTACTTCTACTACTACTACTACTGCTACTACTGCTATTACTACTACTACTACTACGACTACTACTACTGCTACTACTGCTTCTACTACTACTACTACTACCACTATCACTATGACTACGACTACTACTACTACTACTCCTACTACTACTACTACTTTTACTACTACTATTACTACTACTACTACTACCACTACTACTACTACTACGACTACTACTACGACTACGACTACGACTACGACTACGACTACTACTACTACTACTACTACTACTAAAACTTCTACTAGTACTACTACTTTTACTACAACTGCTACTGCTACTGCTACTAGTACTAGTACTAGTACTATTACTAGTAGTAGTAGTAGTAGTAGTAGTAGTAGTAGTACTACTACTACTACTACTATTACTACTACGACTACGACTACGACTACGACTACGACTACGACTACGTCGAGGACGACGTGGAGGATTACTACTAGCACCCACTCATGCTACCGCTCCTGCTACTGCTATTGCTACTGCTGCTGTTTCTACTTCTACTACCCTACGACTGTGGGCAGTACCGTGACTAGCAAGCACACCGTTCTACTCAAGTGCCAGGACAAAGCCGAGGGCTATGTGCCTCGCCAACGTGAGATCCTGGATCGGTTTGCTGCCGAGGACAATCGTCGGCAGCGCTTTCACCTGTTGCCCCAAGATGCTCTTGCCATGTCGAGTGCGGGGGAAGGTGTCTGGGAAACAAGACACCGAGAAGGACTGCTTTTGGCGATGCTCCTGTGAGAGATTCTTGAGGCGCTAGTCACTATTGCAATGACATTGGCAGGACACAGGCGACTCTGTGACTATGGCCACTGTCGGCACTAGCTTGCAACACTTTGGAGAGGCGACTGCACCGCGCCAGATACTGTACTGTCTGTACTGTTCTGGTCGCGGTTCTGGTCGTGTTGACACCCTTTCAGCTGAACACTCGAGGAGTTGCAGGCGGAGTCCAGCGGGCTCTGGCATTCTGAGTCATTTGCTCAGAGTCGCACCGAGTTGTGTGCCTTCCCAATGTCTCAAAGATTGCACGCGGCGTTCTGTTTAAAGTTCCATGTATGCTTTCATTGACACGTGAAAGGGAATGTTGATAGGATCGGTTCTCCCCGCAGCCTGGATTTTCGAGAAGAACAGTGGCCGTTTTCTGTCCGAAAAAGTGTTTTTTCGCTTCTTGAGTTCCCTAAAGTTTGGGCATACCGGCTGCGGTCACAGAGATGTCGATATGTCACGTTTGGAACATTGTGCAAAGCCCGTCAGCCGTAAACGTTGGACTAACTTGCTCTAGACTCTCAGGTCAAAGCTCAGGGTTTGGGGCAGCACACCAGGACTTCTTGGTGTTTTGAGTTTGGGAGGCAGCATCGCAGGTTTCAACTGCAGCTCCGCTCCTTGCAGAGCTCGCAACACTCGCGGACGCCTCGCGGATGTTTCGTGGGGGTTTTGACAAGGAGAGATTGGTCACCTCCCGAGCCAAGACCCCAATATATTAATGGGAACCTTTTGCAACGCATGCGGGAAAAGAACCAACAAATCCAGCCTTTTTGAATAGTTAAATGCTTCTATTTTTGGCACACCCGAGCTCTGTGCCATCCGTGGGCATTTGTAATTTTCAGCGAAGCCTGCCTGCAGATGCGCTTGTCAGGTTCAGAAGGCAACGGGAAGAAGAAGCAGCTGCAAATATGGCACGCGCCACTAAAACAGAGGCCCGACTGAGTTTTGAAATAGCTGTTGGCATGTCAGACCCGCCAGGATTCTGGAGCAGTGGATGCCGACGACTTGCAGCCAGCTCACAGGCAGTGCCTGTCAGCCTGCCGTTTTGTGGTTGTCGAAGCATGGCTCATCCAGGCCATCGGAAGCAGAAGAGGAGCGACTACGCGCAAAAGCAACACTGCTTCATACAGAGTACTAGATAGTGGTGCCAATAAGAATACTCCCATGCTGGACGCTGGATCGCCTTAATGCTCTTTTTTCGTCGCATGCAAGCATACTGAATGCAGTCAAGGTGCCACTGCTGCTGCATTGTCAGGTAGTGTTGTAGTGCTGACGAGCGCGAGCTGGAAAGTCGCATTCCACTGAATGACCAAGGCATTGATGCCAAAGAAGCACAAGCGATTGCTGCAACGCATTGAGAATGCAGAAGCCAAGCGCAAAGATGCAAGCAAGAGGCCTGCTGCCGTGAACGATCTCTGTGGTATGCCCTGAGGGTGGCATCTGAGCAAAACCGTCGAGAGTTTCATTGGCTTCTTGAGAAATTGCCCAGGCTTAAAAGGAAGGCTGAAGCCGCGACTTCTTGAAAAAGCAAGCGCATGAGAACTTGAGCTCTTGCAGGCAGAGTCACGATCACAATTGAGACAGCTATGAGCTTCGATGTGCATTCGTCGGCCTGGCAGGAGCAAGCAAGGAGTTCTGGACGTGTCACCCATTTGTTTTGCTGGGACGATTGCGGCGAAGTGCACCCCAACAAAGGGGTTCCTCAACCTGAGCTTTCTCCCAAGGTCGCAAGTTCCGATGGCTTCAGTCTTCATTGCATTCACTCAACAGAATGCAAAGATTTGGAGCGTGCAGCCGATCAGTCTGGCTCGAGACGCCGAGCGGCTGGACCTGTGTAGACCCTCAGATCAACTTCCATGGTGACTTCGAATTTTTGCACACGAGGCGACAACAAGCATCACAAGGCCACATCTGGGTACGGCATCCAACATATCCAACCACTTTCTCTGAGATGGGCGCTGCGGCTAACCGGTGCTGCGCATCCGAACGCCTGCCGGCTCTTGTCAATATGATTAGGTTTCAATGTGTTGACTGTGCTTGGAATGTTTTGAAAACGCGGACATCGCAGCGCCAGGCGACAGAGGCCAGAGAGGCCAGGAAAATCCTGATAGAAGAGTTCGCTTTGACGGAGAGGCGGGTCCCCAGCTTTGGAACCTGGACTCCTGGAACAAAGGCTAACCTCCCCCCCAAGAGTCGCATGTGTTTCCATCTTCTAATTTACCATCCGTTGGCGTTTTAACCGTCCTTGAGCATGACGCAGGACCAGCTAAACAAACTGATTTGATGCCCGCCTCATGAAAAACTTCCGAAGGGTTCTAAACGTTCCGCCCACGCATATAAGTAGAAGTTAGACAAACAACAGCGTTATACAAGAAAGTTAAGATTCAAAAGCCTTTTTGTATGTTGGAACATTCAGAGGAAGTAGAAGAATAAGAAGAAGCAGAAGGGGTCACCTGGCTTGGGCCTCCTACTGTACTCCCACATCTGCAACGAATTCCGCCGAGCATCCCTGCAAAGTATTCCTGGAGTGTCCACTGTTGCGCCCCAAGTGGGCCGCGAAACGCACGACGTACTTTTTCACGTCATCCCATGTGGCCAACATAGCTGGGACACACACACACACAGTTTCTGGCGTCAGTTTTGGGAATGCATTGTGAAGGTTCGCTCGTGGCTGTCAGCTGCTAAAGCCATGTCCATCATGTCCACCTGTTGTTCAAAATCACGCATTTCTCATGCAAGTGTCTCAAAACAGTGGTGGCGGTCTATGATGCCGAGACATTCTTGATTTTCACCAACCTACTTATTCAAGGACTGCGTATCTTTTCGCGACAATAAATTTCCGGCATGAACACAGCATGAATTTTATTCGTTTTTGTCGACCACGATTCGCCGAGAGATGCATCGAGGCTTTCGCAGTCAAAAGATACACAGCCCGCGGTTTCTCATGATATCTGACGACAGGATGCACAGATGACATCTTCGGAGAAGGTTCAGGTGCTTTGTGAAGCTACGCAGCAAGTTTGAGAGTGGCATTGCGAAACTTGTAGTTACAGGCTTATCCGTATGTGGCACAGGTTCTTAGACGCGCGAGTCGGAGTGATCGGACAACTGCTAGCACAGCTTCTGTGAGCAGGCGACGGTCAGCAGTTGATGTTCGTGTGTTTGCCTTCGCTTCCTGCTGAAAAAGCATTTTGCTAAGCTGTCGGATGCTTCTGTAGCCATGTGGTCGGACAGTATTTGCGCACATTGTGGAAAGCAGAGGCCTCCTGATACTGTCAAGGACGCTCCAGGATCTCAGGCTGGCTGTACAGGGCTTTTGACAGAGTTATTCTGGTGGCCTACTGTGCAGGCCTCTGAAGAGGCTGTGCCAGCACAAGCCAGCCAAGCTACTCAACTGCAAGTGCCCTCGTAGCGAAATGCCAGGATCTATGATTTTCTTGACGCCACTTGGGTCAGTGAATGTCTTTGGCTCAGGCTCGTGCCTCTGCTGCAAGGCAGAAAGGTGCCAGACTGCTCAAGGCAGGTGGCACGCCAACGCTTAAGTGCCTTCCCTGCCACATTGCGTCTCAACTTCGTTGGCCATGCAAGGCTGGTATTAAGACTGGTGAGGCCGGATGCAATGATTTCGAATAGTTTCTTCTGCTCAACCTACAGACCATTCCAAGAGTTAGTTTAATGTAGAATGATGCGGAAGGTCAGCAAAATTGTCGATGCCAAGGAGGCAGAGGAGGCCGGTGCCGTTCCAAATGTTAGGCATACATGTCACATGAGCACTACCCAGCACTACCAAGGTCTTCTGGGGTGCTGGCAGATTGATGTACGTGTGCATAGAGGGACAAGAAGGAGAAGCTGCCGCATTACACAGATCGGTTGTAGCTGGAGCAAGGGGATTCGAAGAAGCCCTTACCCTTCAAGGGGCCAGAGATCATTGAGAGTGACGTTCAGCCCATCAGTGCATCATACTATCTTCATACTGTTTCATACTTATTCCACGCACTCGAACCGCGAGCGTTCTAAGGGGGTCGAGACTGCACGTGTGTTTTTGGGTTATGTTGTTGTTTGAGTGGCCCATGCGTTGACTTGGGGACTATCGTTTGGTCTTGCCCGACCTGGGCATGTCCGTACCAGTTCCGTTCGCGGGCAAATGCGCATACGACCATCGCGACTCAGGTAGCGGGGAAAGGATCGCACCCCTTCGTTCGAACCTGTTCGACATGAAGCTTTGTTCTCTGAAAAATGCCCGGCACAAGCTTGAATATCAGGCCGAGCGGCTGTGTTTACACCGTCAAATAGTCAAATGATGTCAAATGCGATGGCAAAGTTGGGCATAGTCGGTTGGCCCGCTGTCTTCTCTGCGCATCATTCCGTTCAGGCGGCGAAAACCGGCACCGCCACCGCGACCGCCGAGGACCGAAAAAAGCTTGCTTTGCAATGTTGCGCAGCATCTTTTCCATGGAGTCTCGCTTGTCTTCGCCCAACAATGTCATGTGAAACAAATGGCAACCTCCAAGACAGGTCTTGGATATGTGCAGATGGACTGTCAGATTGCAAAAGTTAATGTCTGTAGGAATCACTAGGTAGGTTTTCAGCATCCGAAACATCTGCTGAGTGGGCATCGTAGTGTGCTGCAGGAAGAGAACCTCTACGAATTCTGAATCGGCGAGTGTTTCACTGCTAGCTACCCAACACGACCATGGAGGGCAAGCCATCAGACGAAGCCTGCAGTGCTTTCAAGTCCAACTGAAACCCCCACTGCTGTACGTGAGCGACCTCTTGCAAACTTCTTGGCCCAAGACGTAGAACTTTGAGTGCATGGCCACCCTGGCGGCCATGTCAGAGCCCGGCACTTGCTCGTTCAGTTGGATGATCGACATTGCCGATGCATTGATCGATTCGGGTTCACAAACAACTTAGATCTTCGAGGTTTCACGTTTTGGAAGTGCTGACCTCCCAAGCGGCTTCTTTAGCCTAAAGACTTCTGGAATTCTCCACAAACTGGAGCACAGCAGGTAGCTTTCACAACAGTACTCACAGCTGTTGATGGCAGATTGCGACGCAAGGCATAGAGAGGAGCAACCACCAATAGAAGAGCAGACGCCCAAAGCAAGGTGATACACAACTGCAGGCGTTCAAGAAAGGGTTCCAAACTTAGGGCGGCATAGTTCGCCAAGGCCAGGCAGGGCTGGGTTTTGTTCATAGTCTTTCTGCCGCGATTCTTTTGGCTGAGCCGCGTACCATCGCCACGTAGCAGTGAAACCGGTTGCGAATTAGGGCCCGAAGGAACGCAGTTGTGCATTCATTTTGGGACTGGAAGTCTACATCGCGAGGTGCGTGGATTTTGGTCTCATTTTCCTGTCTTTTCCCCCCTGTCTTTGTCGGCCGCGAAGGGGGCGCCAGCAGGGTCCGACCCTTCGCGTATTGTGCTCCCTGATCTCGCTGGCTTTGACAGCTTCGTTCGGCCTTTCAGGCTGTCTTGGACAGCACGGAAATGACAGCTAGACAGCTAGACACGTTCTTGCAAACAGCTTTGTTTCCTAGAGGCCTTTGCCCAGATGCACCCATGTTTTATGTTCTTTTCATTGTCAGCTGGTCGTTGAGCTTTTCACAAATTGATTCCACACAGCGTAGCAGCTGGAGTTTTGCTCTGCGTGCGGTAGTAAACCTGGCATCAAAGCTGAGCATGTTTTCGCTTGAGGCGCCCAATGCCTCAGGTTTGTTGTTCAAGTGGGAGGTCTTCCTCCCTGTCGCCTGGTGGCGCAAGGGTTCGTGGCGTTGCCAGCAGCTGACCTCGAGTGCTGGGAGCTGCGAAGGCGAGAGCCCTCCGGCCTCCGGCTCGCCCCCTCCATTCGCCCCGAACTCGCCGAACTCTCCCCGAGTTCTCGGAGCTCACCGCGGTGGCACGCTGCGAACTGAACTGGCGGCGACTTGCGCTGGTCAGCTAAGGTGCGGCCAGGGTCCCTTAGACATCCTTGGTCGTGGTGGCTGGTGTGCCTCCAGGTGCACCAGAGCTCCACGCGGTCTGTTGTAAACTTCAGCTCACAAGTCTCCAGCTCTTCCCCTCGGTTGCAGCGATGCGGCCATCCAGCCACGCACATTCTGAATCCTGAAGATTCTGTGGGTTAGTGCAGGCATTCAGGATATGCTGAACTTGACACATGCAATCCAAAGCTATGCCACCCATAAATTACGACCCAAGGTCGCTGGAAGCTTTATGAGCCAGTCGTGTTTCCACCTGCTTCTTTTGAAACTTAAAGAGGAGTTGGAGCCTTGCAGGCATCATTGCTTCACTAACCTTGCCAATTACGAACATGCGGTGCTTGACCGGGAGGGATTTTATTTCGTTGATCGAAGCCATTGGAAGGGTTTGTCCCCACGTGTCCACGCTTTCACGGCAGCTTGAAGGGCGGCCGGGGGCCACCGGTGGTTTTCACAGCTGCGCTGCTGCCGTGCCTGAGGTAATCTTGTTCGTGGCAGGTCTTGCAGGCGCGAAAAGAAATCACAGAGAACATTCGAACCATCATGACGGCATCCTCCCGGCAAACGCCGCCAATCAACAACCGTCACGAACTTGCATGATTTTTCTGGTTTTCAGCCGAGGCTCGTATGGCTGTCCGCTGTGGCAAAGGCTTCTGCATCGGTGGCTTAAGTGGCGCTGCATTTATCGTCCTACTTCCATGAATGAAGGATGTCTTGTCTGCATCCGCACAGCTGCTTGAGGGGCAAGTCCCAGCCTCAGCACGATTTTTGCATGGCGTTTGGGACAGTGACATTCCATGCCGCTCTCTGCAAGGTCCCGTGTCCACCAACAAAGCTCGCGGCTGCTTTGCAGAAGGCTGGCCATTCGACCAATTGATGAGCAACATTCGTAGTGAAATGGCGTAAGGTGCAGGGCCGAGAAGATTTGGGCCTGCTTGGTGATGCTGAGCTTCGGAAGGACTTTGCGAGACCTGCCCGAAGCAACAGACTTTGTCTAGGGCCTTCTCCTGTCATCGCTTCACAGCCCGTCGACTGCTGACCTTGCGCTTCTGATACTGGTTGTATTCTGGCGCGTCGTGTAAGCAAAGTGTTGTTTGGTAGCCTGACTCGCTGCTTTGGAATGAAGCACACAATCCCTGCTCAAACCCTGTCCAGTTTGCCGTCGGATTGCAGACGTGCCCTGCCTGCTGCTACATGTTCAATCTGAACAATGCTCGACTGTATTCGAAAAAAGCATGGCTGTGCACCAAGGAAGGCGCTTGACAGTCGAGCCCTCAGATGTTTGAGGGAGTTTGAGAAGGATTGTTTTGATGTCGGACGCATAGCAAAACCGTGAAAATGGTTAAGCAGACACCAACTTTGTGTGCTTGTACGCTCACCAGCTGCTTCGGGAGGCGTTTGAATGGAAATGCACTGGTTCGTTTGCCGGTTGTGTTTTGTAATGTTTTTGTTTTTTTCTTGTCCTGCAGGTCCTGACAGTGGGGTCCAGGAGATCTCTGCTCAGCAGCATGTCTGATGGAGCATATCATGAAAGAACATGTACATGTTATGTCTGATATGTGCTTGCGCGATGTCTAAACGTGGATCCACCACAGCTCAGGTGTGGCCCGCAGCTTGTGGACCTCTTTTCGAAGGCTCCAGCTATGCTCATTGAGTTTTTTGTATGCGCGAAATAGCCTGCTTTCTTCTTCCCCGAATTCACAACCAGCGCATAAACTTAAACAATGAGGATTCGATAAAGCCCTTCAGTTCCTCAGAGTTGCAGTTTCGAAGAATCTGCACCGCGTTGTCGATTCTCCGAAGTCTGCATTTTTCTTACTTTGCTTCACCCCGTTTCCCAAATCTCATAAATCTGCATGTTCCAGATTCGCGAATCCGTGTTTCGCAGATTTTGATTATGGCATTGTCCGGTTTAGGGATGCTGCAGTTGGCCACGTTTTCCGGTTTCGTCTGCAGGTTTTGCAGGACAAGCTCCAGCGAATACGCTCCAAAGCGAAGCAGTGGGAAACAAAGCTTCCGAAAGCCGGTGCCAGCCTTGGCAAATCTTGGCAACAATGGCAGCGTCGCTCCAGCAGCTTTGTTGTGCTGTACGCTGCTGGATTCAGTATACTCTTTGAAAGGGCATGGGTCGATGCAAGCCACGAGGCGCTGCAAGCTATGCCGCCGTGCTTGAAGCTTGCAAAGACGGGCTGCCAGAGGCCCGTATTCATGGTGCTGCTATTCGGCATTGCCGGGCTGTCGCCGGCTGCTTGAGATGATGTCGTTTGCTCCTGCAATTGACCAGGCACTTCGGCTCGACTGGGTCCTGTGGCATTCCGTCGGCAGCAGCCACTACCCAAAGGATCACCACAAGAGGAGGCCTTAATGACTTAGTGTTGTGCGGACTAGAGCTGAGCGACAGGATGTTCCAGCTCTGCCTTCGGCAGTAGCTCCTGATCTGAAGCCAGAGTTGAACGTCACAATCCTTTTTTTGGTCTCCTTTTGTGTCTTTTCGCATTCTCGCATTCTCGCATTCTCGCATTAGCTTGAGCAGAATGAGGTGAATGAGCGAGTCGCTCGCTCGACGCCCAGATTCTGTCTCAAGCGGCCATGGCAATGGCTATGCCGGCTATGCAGAAGCCAGACAAATAAGCGGTCAGTGCTACGGTGGTCTACCGTCTGAGCTGAACTTCAAGAGACTCAACCTCAGTTGGAGCCTGCCAAGTTCTGGCCAGCGTCGGTGACAGCCCCATTGCAGATTTCGTCTGCTTCTCAGAGCATCGGAGCATTCCTTTGATGCCATCTCCCACGTAGCGGCGTAGCCATCTGAGCCTTTTGTTTTCTTACCCGCATTAGTTCGTGAGCAGAGAAGCTTGCCAAACTCAATCCCAAGCCCTGTTGAGGTTGTGAGGTCACACGTTCTGGAGCATTTGGACAAGTGCACATCCGACTCGTCCTTCGAGTCTAAGTGCTCTGACAAAGCAAGCTGCTTCGTCAGGTACCAGTCCTGGGAGGCTTCCATGGCTGCTAGTCAACCCAAGGCCGAAGAGCCGCGCCCGACGCGCCCGCACAGCCAGCGCACAGCCCGCGCACAGCCAGCGCATCAAACAAATGTGCTGCATTTCAGAGCAGGCGCCCTCCAGTGGGGTGAAGATTCCCTTCGATGCAAGTGTTACAAAGCAGGTACCTGGGCTGCACTGAAAAGCAACACCCTACGTACTACGTGCAAGGTCTCTCTTGCATGAGATGCTTGAGAAGGTAACACTGCGCCGTGCCCTGGGACAAGCCTTTCCGGTCGAGGTTGCGACGGCTGCGTCGGAGGCGAGCTTTTCTCAGCTTGAGCTCGTGAGGGATCAATTTTCTCGGCAGGTTGATGGTGACTACAGGGAAGCGATAAAATCCCTGGCCGCAACAGCAAGAACTTCTGCAATTCTGCCAAAGCACTTTGGCTTGTTTTGCCTGATTTGTTGTGTCGGTGGCGTGACCCGTGTCAATATTCCTTGCCTCAGGTATGTGGCGCCGAAGGACGGCCGATATCTGCCGATGCCTGCTCTGAGACCAAACCAACATTAGAGCATGGGTTTCCTGAAAGTGTTGATAGCAGCGCAAAAAGGGAAATCCACTCAATCCCAGGTGAGCCAAACGGCCTTCTCTTAGCCTTAGATGTCTGAAGGACTTGCTAGGAGCTGTGTAGAATCTGCTGATGCTCATGATGCTCGCCTGCTTCGAGCATTCGACTGACGTTTGTAAGGGGTCCGTGCTTTGCAGGAGGCAGCGGGCAAAGAGTCCGGCAAGAAGCGCAAGGACGGACTTCGCTTGTATCAACATACAGTATTGTGTGCTGTGTGTATGTCAGACTTAGCATCGAGTCAGAAGTTCAGAGTCACGTGGCAGGCGGACTCGGCAACATCTGGAGGCTGGACATGCTGTTCCCAGCTTACTCAGCAGATCTTTTACATGGAGATGTGAACCTCACACTCTGTTGTTTTTCATTCCTGTTGACAAGGCCAGGCTATGATTCGATCGTAGTAAGACTAAGCGTTATCTTCCACAGGGAGTGGCTTAAGCTGTTCCATGTTCGATTGGCCGGCCAACGCCTGGCCGTCCAACTGTAATGAGTCGTAAACCGCAAACGAGTGGAATTCCCAGAACATCCCAGAACATCCCAGAAGTGGGAGTTAACCGTATGCCTCGTGGAGCTGGGGAGAAGGCTTGCCAGACGTTCCCCGAGATGCCGTGGGGCTGCGTTGCCTCTATGGCTCGGCGAGATCCCCTTGCGGCTGCGCTGCATACCTGCAGGTGGCCTTGCGGCATTGCACAAGTCGACAGAGAACCAGGAGTATCGATGGCACATGTTGGCGGGGATTCCTGGTCTGCCCTTTTTGGGGCCTTTGTGCTTGTGTACCTCGATATCATGTAGATGAGGCCTACGCCATCCGTCCTGAAACGACGCTCAGCGCATCACCATCGAAGGGAAGCAAAGCCGGTATCACGAAGGCCGAGAAGCAGTAACACAGCCAACAGCAATATTCCGATCCCCGCGCCCTGACACACCGATAGACTTGTTTGGGGCAGGAAGCTTCAGCGGCGCCGCTGAATGGGACATCCTCTCAAAGACCGCAAGGCTGCGTCGTGTTCTCCATGTCGCCGGTTCTTGGAGAACCTTGCTGACACTGACACACTATGACACACTAGCAGTCCCCAGAGGCTTTGCCGGAGTCTGGGCTCCAACAGGCACGCGGTGCGATTTGCTTCCATTCGCTTTCAAGCAATGAGAAGCAGTGAGGCAATATTCCTTTAGTTCTGGGCAAAGGCAGCGCTGCTCCACCTGGCCATACACCATATTCCTGGCACCACCAGGCTGAGGGAATGAAGGAGGCGCTTCCACTAGCTTGCCTTGCATCTGTCAGAAAGTGTCGAGTGATTCTTTCTTAAAGTCTTCGCCACTTATGAGCGTGTGACCGCAGCAGGGCTTCGCAACGATCTGGGCGGCCAAGGGCTCGGAGTGTCCACCTGGACACACACCTTATTCGTGGGCAAAGGCACCACTGCTTCATGTCCCAAACTGAGAACCTTTTCTGTGCCGTGCCTGGTTGTTGGATCTGTTGCAGGCACTTGGTGGCACTGGCTCGACTCCTGCGTAACAGTCACGATACATGCGCGGGCGAGCGGGCTACCCAGCGCGTTAAAAGTTCCTTTGAGCAACAGCCAGCTGGCTGACATGGCAAGCCATCCGAAGACATGATCTGTAAGAACTTCCCCTCTAGGACATTCAGGAACATCACACCTTGAGCCCTCAGGTTTTCAGGTGGATGCTTAGAAGTTGAGCGTGATGATGTTTACTGTAAGTGGGGGAATCGTATTGGGAGTGTTGATATGTGTGGTGTTCAGCGCTCTCCGTTTTGTTGTGTGTCTTTTTTTCTGAGCTCTGCATGTTCTGTAGTAGATTGGATACAAGACTGATGTTGTCCATGCGCACGTGGATGCTGGCTGTTGATCAAATCTGAATTGCCTTGTGTGCATTGTTCAACTTGCTGCGCTGCAGGCTTGCATGTGGCACAGTGACTCCGCAGCATCGTGACCTGTAGGGTTAAGCCTGGGCCACAACCCGATTGAGCTCACACCTACCCAGCCTATTATCAACTTCGCAGGCGGTGCACATAGCTTGACAAATACTTCAATCTCAGAATCTCTAAAGCGCTACTCAAAGCCCGGCCAGCTCTCACAAGTTCAAAAGTGCTGCTGAAAAGAGGCTCGCGAGAATTTAGTGGCGCGTGTGCTCTTCTGTGCCGTTGCTGCTTCTGGCTCCAGCAGTTAGAGTTTCCAAGCCCGACAGTACACAACCTCCTCCGCCATGGTCCTTTATCACAAATACTCCCTAGTACTCCCTAATCTATCCAGTTTTTGCAATGTTGCAAAGAAAGTGCTTTGCACACAGTTTGCAGTGTATGCAGGGTTTACTTGGATGCTTCTTTTCTCCGGGTAGTCCCCACTTGACTTTTCCCACTGTCTCATGTCCAGCATTGATGGGCCGGAATGCAGGCTGCTAGCTAAGCTGCTGAGTTCAATGTGTGAATCCATTGGACCCCTTTGGCATGCGAGGTCACTGAGTTCAATGACATCAAGGCTTCGATGACGCGCAGAGTTTAAGATTGGGACGCTACAGCCTTCGGGTGAATGATCAACCCTAGTCAGTATGTCGGCAAGTAAGAGTGCCAGTGGGCAAGGTGAGCTGAGAACGGCGTCCGTGCACAGGATATTTGCTACGCAGCAACAACAGCAGCAGCCAATCCTGCAAACCATAGGTGAGCTGTCTCTGACAGTGAACTTGAGAAGGAGGCAAACAACAAAGGAACACAGCAACACAACAACACAACAACACAACAACGGAACAACGCAACAACACAACAAGACAACAGCAGAGCACGCCAACACAGCAACACAACAACACACCAGCACAACAACACAACAACACAACCACACAACCACACAACCACACAACCCCACAAACCAACCGCACAACAAAACAATACAACAGTTTAACCTTACCACTACGAACATCCCCGCCCTGTGCAAGGATTTAAGGTTACACTGTTGGGAAGGGAACGCTTGCGGCTGTTTTTCATGCTGGTTCTAAGCTACTTTTTCCATTGAAACAGCAGAATTTTTGAACAAATGCAGCGAAGTTTGGGGCTTTAGTACTCGTACGTCAAAACTTGAGAGGCAAAACACGCACAGTTCATGACCTTTGCGAACACTTACAGTTGCCCAGCTGAGCCTTTTGGGCCTCCTAGGCTTGCTTATGCTATTGAAGCAACATTCCGGTGTCATTGCGCGCCTTTGTCCTGAATGTTGTGATGCATGAGTGCTGTCCTAAGCACGTTGTGCGCTACCAACACAGCAACAGGACAGAGCCAACACTACCAACATGCAGAACACCCCTCGCTTGTGATCGTCAACTTCTGCGGCTCAGTCTGGTTTGCACTTACACAGAATCATACAGATAATCTTCAAAACGAACCGCCTTCCCAAGACCCCCAACAGGCTCTGAAAAGTATGGGCAATCCCTGGTTCTTGAACACTAAAAGGCTCTTTCCAACAGCACCAGTCTTGGCCCAGCCTCCCACGAAAGTTTCATGTGGTTTGCGCAGCAACCACTGTGTGTTGGGGCCCGTTTACCTTCAACATTTCGCGGTGAACGGTTTTCAACAGGCACCGCAAGCTCCTCAAGGGTTCCGGAAGCTATATTCAATTTTGCAAGGATGCCTGTGGTTGGGTTTCTGCCATTCCGACTTACTTGGCCATGTTCAACCCAAGCTTGTTTTTGACTTTTCCTCCAAAGCGTCAGAAACTGAATCAAGGTGAAAGAGGTGGGTCGAAACAATGGCGGATGCGAGCTGCGCTGGGAAAAGAACCCGGGGCTCCACAGTCTTGGGTTGTTTGGGTTTGGGCTGTTTTGGGTGTTTAGGATTTTTTGTTCTTCCGGGTCCTCTTATGGCCTCTTGGGCCCATGGGCATATCGATTTATCAGCTATATCGTCTGATAAAATATCGGCTTATCGGCTCACACCGGTTTCTCGGCTCATATCGATTTGTCGGTTCCTATGTACTTTGTCCATGCAGGTTGCCTGACTTGCAACCATCGTACCCCGCATGACGCTCCGTATATTTGTTGTGTCTTGGGCATAATAGGGCTCTATAGGGATTTCAGGCCCTTTGCAGGTGCGTCATCTCACGGAGGCTATCTGAAAGGCATTTTTGTTGGCAAATCTATGAGGGAGACCAAGAAAATCAACGGAGTCACTTTTCCCGTCCGCGCGCGCGCGCGCGCGAGTGTGTGTGTGTGTACACACCTGTGCAGGGTGCTATGTAACAAGTCCTTTTCAAAAGCAGACCACCGCGGTAGGGAGGGGGCCGTTGTCGACGACGACATGCGGTGCGTTCCGCTGCGCCATTCCTTGTGTCTGGCGTGGTGAGGGGCAGGACCCATAACTCCTGTTGAATCATCTCTCACAAAGTTTTGCGCATGCCATTCCAGTTCTCTGGCACAAGGTGGAAAAACTGTCCATTTCATTCCTGATTATCTTGTCTTTTATCCTCTTCTTTTCTTGTCCTCTTCTTCTTTTGGTCAGTCATTTGCTTTGTGAGTCAGCTCGCGGCAAGCCATGTCAACATTTTTGTTGTAAGAGAACCAGCTTGGCGCGAGAGAAAAATGTCACATTTCATAGGGGGCTTCTTAGCGATGGTCGTGTTTCAGTGCAAGCTTGCTATTTGTTTGCACCTGCTGTGGAAGACTCAGCGAAATCCACGCGTGTGCTCGGCTGAAGGTGTACAACCTGTCCGCTGGCAAGTCCTTGCCGCAATGGCTCTCAGAATCCAGAAAGAAGAAGCAGCCGCTCAGCCTTATGGGATAACTGGATCGGCTTGGGTGCCTTCAGTTCAACAGCATGTCAGAATTAGTGTAGTTTTGATTGTCTCAGCTTCGGCTGTCTAACACGCTTGTGCTTGAGGTCACTGAGACACAATGAGGATGTCTTCTCCCTTGCACTGTGCTTCACTTCTCAATTGCAGATCTGGGCAGTTGATTGACACCAAGATGACTCGCAGGATTTTCGAAAGCGCATTGACCTGATCCAGGACCCTGCTTGCACTTGTAATTTTAACGCTACGCAACCCGCCTCGGCCTGGCCCAGCGCAGCCCCCCGAGCATGTGGAGTCCGCAACGACACGCTGAAGCTCTGGGCGGGTTGGGGGGTGGGGGGGGGTGGGGGTGGGGGGGGGGTGGGGGGGTGGGGGAGTCGGGGGGGTGGGGCCTGTGGCCCAGCCCAAACTGGCCCTTGGTCCTGATGCACGTTCGCCTTCCGCACACATGTTGGCTAGGGAGGGTACCCATTTCAGCCAGGCAGCATTGGAAAGGGGATTAGAGGTGCCTGCTTTGTGCTCCCCATACACCTACGGCCCAAGGCCTCGGCGGATTATGGGAAATAGCTTTCGGCTTCGAGATTCGACTTCAACACTAAATCGGCATCGCAAGCAGCAAGCTCCGATTGCATGAGTTGTCTCTGCCCGCCTTCATGAGCAAGGATTTCGAGTTCAACGTGGCTTCTTCTCGAGTAAAGGTCAGCCCGGATGGTGACTACGTCTTATCCACGGGCATCTATGCCCCGGAGCGCTATTTCTGCCATAATTATCCATCATGTGCTGGTATGCCTTCAGACGCTCTCTTCAGGAGCTCCGTATCTTTGACTTGAAAGAGCTTGGAATGAAATGCTCCCGCCACATGCTGAGTGCATGTGAATTGTTGCACTTGCCTGTGTAGAATATTGGGAGTCTGATGAGGCAAGTTCTAAAGGTCAATCTTTCGGTAACTCATGTCTCTGCTGCCACTTCTGGGAGACAATCCGTTTTGTGGGGCATTGTTTTCAGAGTTCTGTTCGAATAATGGTTACAGATGCATATAGATGCTTTCCAGAATGTTTTTTCAATTCCTACATTCACCTTTCGGGAGTCGGTGTCTTTTCGCACGAAAAGTGGTGCGTTTCGCATGGGAAGGGGTACCAGGGGTCGCGTGAAGATCCCCCCGACCTGTACACTATTTCATAGATTCGCGTTTCAGTGCTACGGTACTTTTGATGTTCTTTATTTTGCCATGCGTTTTAGGGTCTCTGCCCAATGCAAGTACTAGTATTGGTATCAGTATCAGTGTTAGCTTCGTATTAGGACTAGGGCTGCTGAGCTTCAACATTCGGTCAACAGCGGATTTGGAAACTGAAAACGTGGATTCGGAAACTGGAAAACCGGCATCCGAAACTGGAAGATGGGTTCGGGGAGCTAATGGGAGCTAGAAACGCGGATTCGAGAAACCAGAACCCGGGTTCAGAAACTGGCGACGTGATTCGGGAAACGGGAAAATGCGGATTCGGAAACGAAACCGTTTGCCTGAATCACATGAAGCCGGGTTCCTGAATCGCGTGATTTCCTGAATCGCGCGAAGCCAGCTTCCTGAATAGGGTAGTTTCCTGAATCGCCGAGTTTTTGAACTGCAGTTTCCCGAATCACCGTAGTTTCCTGAATCCTGGTTTCCTGATTCGAGTCCAGTTTCAGAGTCGTGCCGGCGACTTGCTGAGTCGCGCAGCATTCTCAACATTCTAACTATACTCCTCTTCAGGGCTTGTAGTGCATGAAATGCAGTGATGTGGTCCTGAAGGAAAGGTTTGGCAGCCCACCTGAAATATGCGGTGTCGTCGCGTCAGATCCGATGTAGCCTGAAGTGGTGATGCCGCCAAGCTCCCTGCGTTGATGCATGTTCATGTTTCATGGTACTACTACTGTAACGGTATTTAGACTATGTAGATTGATGTAGACTTCCTGATTTACTTTTTAGATCAAGCTTGGGAAGTTCCCTGTTTCGGTTTCAATGTTTCGTGCGCGCATTGTAAACCAACGACTTCCTCTGAAATGTCAGCGTTCACGAGGGAAATGTTTAGCTGACACAGGTGACATGGCATGTGAGAGCATGTTTCAGCCGGTGCGTTGGAGCAGCAGCACCATCGACGACATCACAGTTTTCACGCGTGTTAATATGTGTCAATCTTGTTCCAAGAGTTCCTCTCTGCATGAGCTCAGTTTCGTGTTGGAAAGTTCTCGAGACATCTGCTTGATGCAGCTAGTAACGCCATTACATGTTGGGGGAACATGTCGTTTCGTGCCGGCTTCTCAAAGCTCCAGCTTGCCAGATACAGCAGCCTATACATCTGCATGTTTTGATTCGTTTGTCCTGAAACTGCTGACACCCTGTCGCGACGGTTTGCATGACGCGTTCTTTTGCGTTCGGCATTTGGGGACCCCTGAGGCGGTTTGGATTCGGAGGTTGTCGACCTCCAGTTGCTGTCCGAGGATTGGAAGAAGCTGGCCGCTTGCACAGAATAGAGCATCCCAGAAGCAAGCTGATTGTCCAAGAATCCATTTAGATTCTCGACGCCAGGACACATCTTTCAAAGTGTTCACGTTCGTGTGCTGGTTGTGCTTGTGGTTGTGGCCGTGGGTCTAGTTGTTGGTGGTTGTTGGTAGTTGTTGGTGGTTGGTGGTTGTTGGTTCTTGGTTGTTGGTGGTTGTTGGTTCTTGGTTATTGGTTGTTGGTTGTTGGTGGTCGGTTGTTGGTTGTTGGTTGTTGGTTGTTGGTTGTTGGTTGTTGGTTGCTGGTTGCTGGTTGTTGGTTGTGGGTTGTGGGTTGTGGGTTGTGGGTTGTGGGTTGTGGGTTGTGGGTTGTGGGTTGTGGGTTGTTGGTTGTTGGTTGTTGGTGGTTGGTTGTTGGTTGTTGGTTGGTTGTTGATTGTGTGATGGTTGTTGATGGATTGTTGTTGATGTATCTGGCATATTCGGGCTGTGATCCTCGCGACTGTCCTAGTTTTGTGCCACCTCGCTTGCAGCACTATCTCAGCAATGAGGTATCAGGATGATAAAGGGTGCTGGTTTGTGTGTTGCACACTTTGCTCATGTGGCATGTGACAGTATGATGAAGCTTGGCAGCCTGACTCGGGCTCGTAACTCGGTCCTTCCAAGTTATTTATTTAGTTGGGCTTGTTTTCGTTCGGTCAGTGGACAAAAGCTAGACTTAAAGAACCAAAGCCCTGGAGTATCCCAAAGCATCCAAATCCTTGTTTCCGCAGTGAAGCTCGCCGGAGTGGTAGACCAGACATGCATTACCTCGAGATGCTGGGTTGTCGTGCATGATTACCTTCCTGTGTTTTGGTCTTCGTGTGTGGTCTGCGCCAGATGCGCCCAGCTCCACTTTCAGCTTCACACCGTAGTGCCAGTTTCGCTTATGTACTCGTAGCTGCCATCATGTTCGCTCTCCTACTTTGACATTCCATGTGAGAGCGTTTGCTGGGGCCAGCTTTGTTGCATGGGCCATTCAGTTATTCAGATAAAAGCCACGAATCTCCAAGCTATCGCACAAAACCCTTTGGACAAAACGATGACACACGGGGAAAGAACACGTCAAGGCCTTGTGGGAACATGTCTTCAGTGCCAATATCTTTCGTCGTTCCTGCAACTACTTTTGGGGTCATCTCGTGGTAATCGCTGTGATTTGTTGTAATTTGCGGTGAAGGAGGTTGGTCGTCGTTTGAGATTTGTTTTCATCCTTACCACGTGAGTTGCAGGTGATGCTGATGGATGACCGCACTTTAGAGTTTCATTCCCAGTATGGGCGCCATCACCGTATGAGGGTTCCGAAATGCCCGGGTCTGAGAGCACTGTGCCGTATCTGAGAAGCTGGGATCTGCATGAAGCCGTTCACCAAGGTGGCCGCAGCGTCACTTACGACAGCGAGTCGTGCACCTTGTTTGTGGGTGGGTCATCACAGGAGGTGTACAGGCCCGGGAGCCACGTGCAACTTGTCCCTCGCCATTTGCGTGTGCAAGTCTGCCTCAGGATAGACTTGGAGGCTGGCACGTTCCTGACGCCAATCGAAGCGCAGAAGATGAGTGAAGTCAACGAAGTGGCCACGACTTTCGTCCGAAATTGTCGGGTAAATGCTTCATTCTGTTCATTGCTCTTGCGAGTTGAGTCATGCACAAGTGCAAGGCATCCTCGACTGCCCATCGTGAGCTGCTGTGGTGATGGTGCTGTCGTCGAATCGTGGGATTTGAGGGACCATGCATCTCCACTTCAGTCGTTGAAGGTGCCTGGCTTACTTTCATACTGCATTCGTGTTCATAGTTGCAGCTTCTGCGCAAAGTGATGATACATGGAAGGTGAAGGGGTGTTCTTTGCTGCGTTTCGGAACGATCCGCCCAATAGTCAACGGGCTTACAGAGGTCTACAGGGGATCATAGGAGGAAATCAGCATGACGTTTTTGTAACGCGCGACATCTCGAAGACCAGGCTGCCAAAACCAATAAAAGCCTGAGCAGAGGGCTGGTATAAGCTGACACTTCAGTGCCGCCCTTTGCCCCACTAGTGCAAATACCGCGCTTCTGCCATCCTTGTGCATCTGTACGTGCAGCATCAGTGCTGCCTTGCCATGTGCAAACAAGGTTGATGACAGAGCGCTGTCTGAAAGCATCCAGGCTATGGCTATCCTGGCAAACACAAGTGGTTTCAAGTGTGCGGATGTCTCTGTTGTAGGTGACCCGTTGCGCCTACTCCGGCAACGGCATGTTCTTTGCCGCGGGCACGTCTGAGGCTACGTGTCATCACCATGCCTGCACTGTCAGAAGCCACATCATCCCTGAAAGCAAGAAATTTTGCGAAGAGAGATTCGTTTCTTTACCAGCATGAACTTGCTCGCATCATCTTTCGTGTCAGGGCAGGCACGATGCAAATCATCCCGACGAAATGTCATCCGTCTCGACTTTCGAGTTCATGAAATAGCGGCGCTTGTCTGTCTGTGTCCCTCCTTGCAACATGACTTGGTTGGTGTTAGCATGTATCATCCATCGTGTTGCGTCCTTAAGGTATGAACGGCTTTCGGCATCTCTGCCCCACGACCGTGAGTAACAATAGCAAACGCTAATTTGTGCAAACATGAAAGCAACTGTCGAGTGCACAATCGTGTGATGCTCCAACAGGGTGTTGTGAAACCTTTGCTCCCGACATGAGTCAGGGCCTGGTCCGTGTCTATGACTTGCGCAGCAGCCGCCCACTGGCTGAGCGGGACCACATGCGACTTGACCTAGGTTAGCTGCCACCTTCGTCATTGCTTGAAATGAACGGTGTGGATATCTACAGCAATTCTACAGCCCTGCATGGAGAAGCTCGAATCGACAGAGCTTTTTTTTTTGACCTGGTTGAGTCTTGTGGCTGCAGAGAGCTCAGGAATGACTATGCAATCACTTCGCTTTGCTTCCATGCCTGCGGTCCGGAGTCATCAGATCTGCTGATTGCATCCTCTGACAAGAAATCCATAAAGGCTGGCTGACAGTGTGTCATGCCTACATTGTGACCACGGAGCCATGCAAGACATCGCCAGACTCGAACTTCATGTCCTTACGTATTCAAGCCTTAAACCTTGAGCCAGCAAGCCCGTAAAGCCTAGTCGTGGTGCTGAAGCAACAAGCTGGCCTAGCTTCCTAGCCTCTGCACTGGCAATTTGCGGGTGTGGATCAGATCTGGGGTGCGACGACCGGATCAATGAAAGCTTCTGTCGAATCACAAAGTGCCTCCAGGCTGCAATTCGTAGCATAGCATTGGCATGAACAAGTGTGAGGACTCTACATTGGTGGAGCGACACAGTGCCAGCACGTCCCACAGCCAAGGTTGTGAACGACGTTAGCTTCTATCCGAATTCGGGCTTGATGTTTGTGGCGAACGACCATCAGTAACTTGATGCAGTACTCAGGTGCACGTGTGAGTAAGTGCATGCAAGTGCCGTCTGTCTTTGATGATCCACCCATTCCAAGGAGAATTGGGCAGCTTGGCTGAAACGCTTTGGGGCACATTCCGATCGGGATCGCTGCAACGCTGAGGCTGTTTTTCATCCCAAGCGTGGGGTTAGCACCGCCGCGGCTTAGCTGAAGGATGGACTGGTCAAATTGTCGGTGTGAAGATGTGGCGATCGCCGCTTGCTCGAGCCTTGATTCCTGTATTACTCAATGAGGTGGTGTTCATTCCTGGACAACATCACCGAGGCTTGGCGATACTGGCCTCAGAAGCAGTTTCGGATATTGTACATAGTATGCAGCTTTGCACATAACAGGAGCTGGAAGAGACCAAGCAGAAGACAGTGTTTGAGGACATTTTCACAAGACCGTAGCCGGATTCTTTCTTGCCTGTTTCGTGCAATGCTTGGCAACGTCGCACGAGGACTTCCAGTTTGTCACAAAGGATCAACTTGAACAGCTTGGTGCAACGGAGCCGTTTGGCAACGAATGAGTGAAGGGCGACTATATGAACCACCAGGTTGCACAGCTATCAGATTGCACAGCTTGGCCCGCTGAGGCTGGTTGGCACGAAGTATCTGCAGCCCTACATGCATGGCTTCTTCATGGACGGTGCTGCGATTTGCTGATAGGGAGACTGGGAGGAGAGCTGAGGAAGGGGTGCGTTCGTGGAATTGTTTTGCGAGGACTACCGCCTCCATGCGAAGTTGAAAGCTGCGTTGGATCCTTTCGCATTCGAGGAATATCGCAAGCAGAAGGCAACATAGTCTGGCAGATTCTGGTGTTGACCGGTCGCATGTTGCAACATGCGCAGTTGTCTGCTGAGATCAGGCCAGTCCACTGAGTCCACGTTGCGCTGTTTGAATTTTGTGGGCTGGTCGTACGGAGGTGAAAGAGAGGCTCGAAGCCAAGCGCACCATGCGAACCCGTATCAGAAACAAGAACAAGGCCAGCCTTCACAAACAGTCGTAGCAGCTAGCAGCTGGTCGATTCACCCAGTCGTTCCTGCGACTGGCTGATTTGTAGTGCAGGTGGACGTCAACCCCAGCTTCCACGAGCAGCTGCAGCTCACTGCAGAAGAAGGCACAAGTGTATGTCCTGAGGAAGCTTCTGAGGACGCCTGTGGGTGCATCGCAGTGAACCTTGTGAGCGCATGGCCGACAGGCTCGGGAGCTGGTGCGTCCAAAAAGCGGAAGGAGGCGGACGTGCACTTGTGAGGGTCAAGGGTCTTGGGCTTAGGTTTGGAGTTTAGTGTTAGGGTTCGAGGTTTAGGGTTGTCTTTGTGTACTGCTTGCCTTCAATCTTGCACTTGTCCTTGCCCGAGAACATGTCCAAGGACGCAACAACATACAAAGCATGTTTACTTGGAACATTTTCGAGCATCTCCACCCACCCGAAAACCAAACGGTTCACAACCACTGCAAGGGTAATCCCGAGTGGGGACTCCAGAGGTACTCTGTGCGATACGGTGTAGGGGAAAATCTCAATGAATATTATGTGCATGTATGTCTATATATATATATGTATATATATGTATATATATATATGTATATATATACATGTATATATATATATGTATACATACTATAACTGGGGGTCCCTCCATGGATCCAGTGGGGTTTTTCAGGGGTTCTCGGCGCGGAGACTTCTGCGACGGGGATTTCTGAGCCGGAAGCAAAAGCTGCAGGAGGTCGCAAAGAATCGGCCGAGACGACCCGGACCAGAAACGCCAGAAACGCCATCCTTCAACCGACGCCCGAAACCTGCATCTAGGCCCATGCTCGGCGTGCTGGTGATAGTTCGAGCGTGCCGGAGGAATACTCTTTATCATTACTTGGTCTTCAGTACACATGGCGCAACTAGATCTCTAGCTTCTCGCCAAACCTCTGGAGTCCCTGCACTAGCTTTCATCCCAATCCCTCACCCAACTTGCACGCTTTTTCCCCAAACAGTCTACTGTTGGGGTTCTAAATTCATTTAAGGCTTGCCGACATTCTGAGGATTGTTGCCGGATTCCTGGGCTCCTTGTCTCCCTTCGTGTCCCTTTGTCTCCCTTCATGTGGGTGGCCTTGTCCTGTTGCTGTGCTCCTCGTCTCCCTTTGTTTCTTTGACGTGCCTTTGACTGTTTGGCGTTTTCGGGGGTGTACTTTGTGGATTCGCATGTGTGTCTGGCCCGTGCAGCAGCAGAAGCCTGTCCTTCGACAAGCAGATTGTAAGTCTTCCTGCAAGCAACCTTTGTTCAGCATGAAGAAGCGCAACTCCTGGCCTTCAGTGAATCTTAGGTTTCACTCCTTCTGCACGTGCTTGGTTTCTGAGCACAGTATGTTGCCAGGCGCAGCGCAGGCAACTTAAAGATTCCGAAGTAAACGAGATCTAAACTGCAATTCGCTTGGCCTGCTAGTCACCTTGGAAGGTTCTTGGAGAGATACCAGGGTGGAGAAGCTTCCCCTGAGCGCATCAACCCTAAAGTCAGAGCAATGTAGCTGAGGCTCGCACAGTAAGGACTTGAGGAAATCAATTTACTCACAGAATCGTGAGTTGTCTCTAGCTCCGGCAGGTTTGTAATACTTGCAACGGAAACAAGCAATTCGTAATTCGTACACTAAAAATCGTTGATGCAGACATGATTGCAGGCAGGCAGACAGGCGAAGTGACATTCGGATCATACAGAGTCGTGCGGGCACCATTGCTTGACAGCTTTTGGAAGACCATGCTGTCACGTCGGTCAGGCAGCGGACAAGGCGAAGCGCATCCTAGAAGACCAGCGATTCCAGGCAACCGGCTTGGGGGGGGAAAGCGGGAAAGTCAGAGAAAGTGTTTATTGTGTGCTTTCGCATGTTGCTTCCTGCGGATGTCGACTTGGTGCACTCTGAGGCCTTGTTCGCAGATCCTGACTTCACAATCGAGGACCAGCACAGTCTTTGTCGCAGCCAATGCTTTGTGTAAGACGTACATGTTGCAAGAGAGCGGTGTCTCATGCGACTTCGAGGACAATGGCCAGAAAGCCAAGGCGGCGCTAAGTTTAAGCAAGTATTCTGCCGAGGCTGGCCATGTGTTCAAATCCAAGGCCTTATGACGCACAGGCTGACGAAGCACCGTTGCCAAAAAGGAAAAGAAAGCCACAGGCCGCCTATCACTTTGCAGGACTATTGGTTAGCTGGCTTTGCTGGCTTTGCTGGCTTTGCTGGCTGTTCGTTGCGCTTGGTTTGGCTTCCAGCTTTGCTCCTTTAGGCTTGTTGGAGCATGTACAGTATGCTGCATGCTGTATGGTCTATGTACTTTTTTAGCCGCATGTGCCAGCCATTTACGTCGGCTTGTTCCTTTCGGGCTTGTGCCGAGTACGGGCGGCGAAGGCGCAATTTGTTCTCATATGGGAACTGCCGGAGCACGCCTTCTTATCACTGGCCAGCCTAACCACACAGGTTAGTTCAGCACCAGAACCTTTCTTTTCCACGACTAGCCGAGCCTATGTGAAGGCTGTCGAACATCTTCCTTTAAAGTATTCAGTCCAGTATGCTGACCTACCCACATGCCAAGAAGCGATCCAGCTACTACCGATCACGCAGGTGCCCTCAATCTGGCAAGTAAAGGATTCAAAGCCAGATGTCCGCCAAAGCGCCAAATCATGAGTGCCTCTCGACTTTCACGAACCTTCCAGCCTCAGTCCCAGGGCGGCCAAGCCGCAAAAAACGCACATCACAAAGCCCCAAGACCGTTCGGGATTTGTTGTGGCGCCTGGAGTGTGGCTGGCCTAGCATCCATGTTGGCAGGGCATGACCTCAAGTGGACAACGCTACTTGTAGTTCAGATCCTGGGTGCCGCTTCTCTACATGTGCGACAGACCCTCCAACATGCCTCGCAGCCACAGATGCTGATTTGCGCGTAACCTGTAGAGTCAAAACTTGCAGGAAGTGTTGCGCTTATCGCGCTATTGTGCGACAGGCATGAAGTCCATCAGCGAGCAATGCAAAACGCTGAAGCGCCTCTTTTCGCGGAGACGGCTGCCTGGAGGCTTGACTTCTCAAGTGCATTCGAAAAGCTCAAATTATCATGCCAATGATTGTGCAGGTGACCTGGTGACCCGACTTGAGGACAGCTGCGGATAGCTCGAACAGATCCGTCGAGAAGAAGCAGCTCCCCACTGCAGAAGCACCAAGTAGCCGAGCCATGCTGGACGAGCTGTGCAAAGTGCCTTTGCCAGTCCAAGCTGCCAGTGTAGCGAGATTTCAGCGAGAGCATTTGGTTCGTCGGCTACAGGCAAAAGTGGTGACGTATGTTGTCTGTCGTTTTGGACGTTGGTCGGGGGAGGAAAAGTGTAGGGATAGCAATGCCTCTGGACATCATCTCCATTTCCAAAGCACGGGCAGTACCTCTCCATCCGGTTGTTCAGCAACCCATCTAGAAACATCATGGAGAAGACTTCTGCTTCACGAATGTTTGGAGCTCGGAATCCGAATCTGATAGCCCTTTCAAACTGTGGAGGCATTGCAGTTTGGAAGCCCCGCAGCCTCACGAACCCACAGATACCTGCAGCATGGTTGGATCATATTTGTTGTGGCATTGGCGGTTTTCGAGTATTGCATGCCTGAATGCTGCCAGGACTGATGCTTAGGAGAAAAGTGCTTGAGCAACATGAAACATTCAGCAGTTGCGACATGCAAAGATCTGGATGTGGCGACAAGGGTAAAACAGCCAAGGTGGGGACGGGTGGGCACAGGCGGGGGCTTTTAAATTGCCAATCCTGCCATGGGTAAGAAACCACACCGAGACCAGAAGATCAAGCGAGCGCTTATTCAACCACGACCTGCATCGCTGAGCCAGCGTGTGCGTGAACTTGGCCATGACATTCACGGGGTGGATGATGCTGGTAGAGAGTACGGCAGCCTATCAGAACTTTGGCTAATACAAGGGCAGCAGCGTGACAAGTTTTACAAAGTGAATGCAGATTGGTGGGTGAAAGGCTACGAAGGCCGTGTGTCTCTTGAGGGCACGATGATCGGCGATGAGGCGAGCGAGGAGGACGTCTTGCATTCCCAAGACTTTCTTCGCAAAGCATTGAGCCTCGCATGCTTCGCATCGGAGGAGGGCTTGACTCAGCCTTGCTCGGCTCTGGACTGCGGTGCTGGCATTGGAAGGGTCACGAAGCACGTGCTTCTCCCGGCGGTCTGTGGCAATGTCACTCTTGTGGATCAGTCCTTGAAGTGGTTGCAGACTGCTCAGAAGTATTTGGCACACGCAAAAGATCGCTGTCATTTTGTTCACTGTCGGCTGGAGAATTTCCAGCCATCCGCCAAGTTTGATATAATTTGGATACAGTGGACGTTGCAGTACTTGATCGACGAGGATGCTGTGTACCTTTTGCAGCATGTGGCGGCTGGATTGACGCAACAAGGAATCATAGTTCTGAAGGAGAACAATTTGTCCCAAGACTCAGTTTCATTTCACATGGACACCCCTGGAAAAGAGGGTCGCTTTGACATAACGCGCTCACCCAAGCATCTAAGCGTCCTTGTTGAGTTGGCAGGGCTTAAAGTATCTCACATGGAGCTCTGGGATGAATGCAGCTGCTGGGTGCTTGTCTATCCAGATGAGGGCCCAGATTAAGTTCTGCCATTCTCTTCCAGCCTAAATCGAGGATGTGCAACAGGCACAGGGCAAAGCAGATGCGGCATTTCGCAGTACGAGGATCGGTACGACATGCTGCGGCTTATTCTGACTCGATAGCAACCCATGTCAGCTGTGACCCGCTGGTATGGATCAGCTTGGCAGCACGACTTCGGTGCGGCACTTTTCTGCACTTGCACCAGGCGGAGCGGATGACTCTTGCTCGCTCAGGTCCGCGCGAATGATGCCAAGATGCCGGATAGTGCATCTCTGGGTGTCCAGTGCATCTTGATGATCGTCATCTTGCCGCAACATCAGAGTTTCTTGAGAAAATGCAAAAAGGATGTGACAGGCTGGCACAGGTATCTATGAACTAAGTTGATGGCGTCAAGGTCGAAGTTGTGTGTGCCAGTAATTTTCCGATTGGCTCAAGTCAATGGCTCTCGGGCCCAATAACACTCGACAACCCATGCTCACACGATCTTACACGTCAACCACTACAGTTGCTGAGATACCTCGCGCTTGCACACCTGCTTTTTCTGCTTCTGCTAGTGGCTGTTAGCAAAAGGCACTGACAGTATTCATGACTGCAGCAGTGAATGCAGTGAATGGCAGTGAATATCGGCAAGCTTACGACGCTTTTCATTATGCGCTTGCGCTTGCGATGTGGAGCTTCATACAGGCCTGCATTGCATGATCCTTGTTGAAATGAATAGTCTGCACATGGTCGCCAGGCTCGGTGACCTGCAATGGTCGCTTGGCACGTGGCTGTTCTTGTGTAGACGCTGTGGATGCAGCTTCCTTTCAATGCTTGGCTTGGCCAGCTTTGTCCAGGTGCATGGTCCATGTTCCGGAGAACGTCTTCACTGTGAGAGACTTCGCAGGACATATAGCTCGACTACTAGGCAGGACCCTGAAGTGCTGGCTCAGCGTGTACCTTGCCTTCTTGGTGCCACGAACAAGCAAACCTCTGCTGAAGGTAGTTGCATAGCTACCCGTTTCATGCGCAACAGATGCCCCTGTGGGGTCAATTTGCAGTTCACTTTAAATGCTGCCTTTTCAGCTGCCTTTGGCGCAGAACTGAACCTCCATGGTGGCAATGCAGATCTTCCTCAGATTTTGCTGGAAGCCTGGAATCTTTTGACGATGTTGCCCTACTGTACATCACACCGTGGGTGCATTCGCTGTGGAAGAGAACGTCGACCCAGCTCAATGAGGTTGGATGGCTTTCTGGTTCCACATGATGAGGAGGCCTGCTGGGCATTTGGCTTCCTTATCTGGTTGACGTAGACTATTCAGCTCGTTCTACATTCCCCGAGGTGCGGGAGGTTCTCAGAGACGACGAGGTTGGTTGCTCCTCTGTGAGCTACTGCAGTGAGATGATGCGAAATGGACATGGTACGGCACAGCTTCAAGCCGACGAGGGGATAGCCAGGAGCGCCTGGAAGTTTCTACAAGCCTCCAAGTATCTCATTCGTGACCACGGGGTAATTTAAAGCCTCAATATCCTCAATGCAAGGCTCCATCTTTGTCCTTCTCTTTTCACTTGTCGGGCCATGGCGCAGGTTCTTGACGTGGAACCATTGGACTCTTCCACTGCAGCAGCCCAAGATCAATCCATGCCCTAAACTCCCCTAGACTCCACAGACTCCATGCCGCGAGGCTGGAGCTTCGCACAAGTCGCAGAAGAGACAGCCCGTCTGCTCCTCGGGAGGGCTGCAACAGAAGCCTTGCATGATCGCACGCCGAAGGCCGAGTTCTCCGGACAACTCGGAGCAGCGAATAAGAGGCGGCCACTGAGCCATCTCTAAACCACGAGGATGTGTAACATATTTGTTTGGGTCTTTGCGTCTATTGGGTCCTGGGGTGTTGAGCCATGCTCAGGGCGAAGGTTGCCAGCAAGCCTGTGCAAGCCTCAGACTTCGGAGCAAGGCAGGTCTCATCGGTGCAGTCCGGTCTGAGATGGCCTTAGAGTTGAGGTCATGGCTCTAGGCCTGGACGTCTTTCCTTCACCGCTCGCAAAAGTCATGAGATGTCAGCACTTCAAATGACCAGAAGGATGGCAGCAACCCGAAAACGATTCCGACAAGGCAGAGATGCATCTCTAAATTGAGTTGGAAGCGTTTGTGGGGCTTCAGCTTAACACCCAGCTCCGAGAAAATCGTTGCTCGAGGCATTAGGAAGAGTTGTTTGATCTCGGTCCTGAGCTTGTCGTGCCCGCCCATCCCCTCCTGTTATATGATCCATTATGATCCAGACTTGTTGGACAGGATGCCCTCCGTATTCTGGCCTTAATGTAGTGGCCAAACTTGGTAACGAAACCTTGGCTGAAGTTCGCCCCTGTAGAGTTTGGTGTTGTAGTTGCAGTCCTGACAGACGTCGCCTCACACTGCTACATCACGCCTACACTGCCTACAACAAAGCCGGTTTCGTCGACACCATGCCGCCCACAGTGAAGAGTAAGTCAGTCATGACGTCATTCGCCCCGCGTACCCTGACTCAAACAACCCAGAATTCTCTGCTTTCGGAGTGCAGATTTCGTGCGATGTTCCTGCTTGGTCCCCGAGAGGTTCTTGAGGCGACTTAAGGCTCCTATAAGGCTCCTTTCGGCCAGGGCTTGGCAAAGGCAAAGCCGACTCACGAGCCCCAGGCAGGCCTCGTTGTCCCATGATCCCCATGACGAGTGCAAGATAGTGCAGGTGACAGCTTAAGCTACTGCCTAAAGCGTCATGTAGCTTCTATCGACTCTGAGACTACAACTCCTCGATGCGATAAGCTGGAGAGATGCGCCAGCACAGGTTGGTGGCAACCCTCCCAAGGAGGCTCAGAGCTTGTTATGTCTTTGTCTGAGACTTTGGTACTACTTTGTTCCGCTCTATCTTCAGCAGCTTCAGCCCCGTCTGTTCGTGCATACGAATCAGTTGCAAAAGCTTGAGAACTCAGTACAGAAAACAGAGCGTGCATGTGGTGCTGATGGTCTCCTCCGCTGAAGAGTGGTGGTGTGCGTAAGGTCAGGCTTTGCGAGAATGTACTCTTTGTTGATATCATCGGGTCTCGCAAAAGGTTGGGCATCTGCCCGTTGAGTTCGTGAATGAGTGCATCTTCTGTTGCGGTCCATCTGGGATTGCATCGGGTGTTTTCTTTGGAGAGCGTGTGTAAGGTTTGCCGTTGAACCTTGAACCGTTGTGCTAAGGAATTGGAGCTTGGTTCCTGTAACGATCTAAGGCCAAGGCAGCCAAGGGCCCAGGAAGACCCAGGAAGGAGAAACGAAGCAGAACGCTTGCCAAGCCAACGGAAGCCATTTCCATCATTTTCCTGCTCGAAATGTCATATCTTGTGCAGCCCTATGGAAACCTTGGAGTGTGGAAGCCTTGCGGAAGCCTTACGCCGTGCAGATCCATGCAGGATGAGCCTTGCAGCTCCACAAGATTTTTGCACTTTTTCACTAGACCAGACACCCGCCTCAGCTGAGGGTTCAGCTTTTCAGGGAGAGCAGCTCCGTAGGAAGGGAATGGAAGGGCTAAGTTGAGCTGGCACGTGTTGTACGTCTCACGTCTCTACAGGCAGTGGAAGCAGCCGTGGCCACAGCTCGAGAGCTCACGGCATCCAAGCAATCAGTTTACTGCCGCGACCTTGAGACTGCGCAAGATCCAGGCCAAAGCTCTTGCTTTGGCAACGTGTGCCGAAGGCTGCAATCGGCCTGTTAGCCTCTGGCTGCAATGGCTAGATCTTGCTAGATGTGTAGAACCTCGGTGGATGTGCCAGCAATGTCATGTGAATTCTGAGGAAAGTTTCCTGCAGATCTTAGAGTCAGATGAATGTGGGCTAACGGTGCTTTGTCGAATTTTTCTTTTTCCCTGCGTTCTCAGTCGCGTTGGCCGGGTGTTGACTCACCGGTTACTAGCCCAAAGGACTTGAGCGCCTGATGCTGGAGCATGTTGCCAGGTGCGGCGAACAATGGCAAGGCGGAGACACCAGATTGTCGGGATTCTGTCAGACATATTTAATATGGTTGCGCTTTGATAAGGAATTCAACCTATTGCTCATGCTCCTCTTCAGAGTCCATGCATGTCTGTCCATCATTGTGGCTAGTATGCCAATGCCGATTAGAAGGACGAAGGTCGCGGAATCTTCATTGGAGGTCTGCCGGCTTCGTCCGCTCCCTACTGATTACTTGAGATAGTTGGAATGAGCTTGAATGTTTTTGGTTTTTCTTTGACAGTCGGCTCATGTTGGCTTTCTGCCGATAGCGATGTCAGGGTGGATGACAAGGAGCTACGGAAACACTTTGAACAGTTTGGCCGCGTCCAGGAGCCCTGTACCGAAGCAGCTGAATGTTCTTATGCAAAAGACCCATGATGCCAGATGTCCTGGTGCCCGTAGGATGCCACTGTGGTCATGAACCAGAAAACAGGAAAGCCCAAGGTGCTTCAGATGGGAACAATGAGAGCCGCAGATGAAAAACACATCTCAATAGCATGTAGCCTGCAGGGCTTCGGCTTTGTGGAGTTCAAGGAGCCAGGTGGACGAGAGAAGGTGGTGCCCTCGGCTACAATATCGCACCGACAGCAAAAAGGCAGAGTCTAGCTACTTGTACGGGGTACTAGTGTGGCTTGTTGCGAATCTACGCATGCAGTGTGCGGTGCCCAGCTTGATAGTTGCATCAACCTGCAGGAGGATGAGTTGGCACATGTTGGCAGCAAGGTACAATCTAGGCATTCGGCCAGAAAGAGCTGCACCTCGACTCCAAGAGCCTTCAGTGAGAAAGTCAGAATCAAAATTAAGCAGAAGTGTAAAGCTGGCCATCCGCACTCGAGCTTGGAACAATGGGCGTGTCCTGGCGTGATGTGCAGAAGTGCCGAGGCTGGCTCGTCAAACTATCCTGAACTCACTGTCGTACGCTACTCTGACTTCTGCACGATAGCCTGATAGTTTCCGACACGGCCCCCTAGGCGAAAACAACATCTGCGGCATGTCCCATTCCGTCGCGGGTCTTGACCCGACATGGCTAATCGGGTGTAAGCACGGATGGGCGCTTCATCAGAAAGCAACGTGCTGCCACGTTGAGTCGACCGAATCGCCAACATAGTGAGCACGCATGATATCGCTATCACAACGTAACTGCTTGGTGTGCTATGAGCCCTTCGTCTCCCTGTTCTTGCCTGCCTGGGCACCAGGCTCAGTTCAGCTTTCTTCTTGGCTGCATTTGAGGCTGCTCCTGTGCTCCGCACCCACTCCGGTTTCGCCTCATGCCTGTTTCCTCGGTTGATCATTTTGGCTTGCTCACTCTGCTTTGATGCTTTCTTCGACCAATGCCTATTCCTTGGAGCGTTGCAGACTCGGTCGACACCCAGGCACAGATGCTCTTGTCTCAGTTCGTTTCAGTTCACTCCCTGTAAAGCTAGTCTTTGTCTTTCCTTCCCTCCCAGCGTTTCACTGCTTTGCCATTTGTGTGGCTACATCAGGTTCCTTTCTCTTGCCGAAGCTCCGCAGCAAGGTACCACCTCTACTATGGAAAAACCATCGGTGAGATTTGTATGAAAGAAGTACATCCAGTCTAGAGTATCTCGGCACACATCTTCCGAATAAAGTTCTCAACAGTATAAAACTCAGCTGCCCGGAGCTTGCATGGACACGGTCGATGCTCTGCTCAGGTTCTGAGCTCAGGGGCGACGCAGCAAATCCACGGCAAAACTGTCGAGGCTCTCTGCTTTGGAGCGCAGCTGCTCATTGGTCACAGTCGGCATGCTTCAGCTTTGCTTCCGAGCCGAAGGTGAAGCTAAGACAAGTCAGAGGAGCCAAAGGTGCAGCTTCGGGACGGGCACTTACGGTGAACTGCCGAGGTAGGTCTTCGGTCTGAATGGTGCACAGGCAGACCGCATATCTTGATCACTTGATCAAGCATTGTCCGAAGCCGTTTGCAGCTATCGCCGGCGGCGTTCAAGGATGCACTCTTGGCTGCACAGTGCCACTGTCAAGCTTCCCAGCTCGTTGTTTCAGTGCTTTGTGAGGTAGTGGGATCTTCCCTCCTGGCAACCATGTCAACAGCGCCTCCGGCTGAGTGCAGCTGGAGGACAAGGCCTCGAGTATGGGATTCGCAGAACTGCTGAGCAGAGATTGGAAGACCCGAGCAGCAGAGAATACGAGACAGAACTGACAGCACTACGGTTGCAAGTAGCTCCTTGGCAACTCTGGCGCGAGGCCGTCGCCTGTTCGCGGCTCGAGCCTGAGATGAGGTTGAGATGATTAGAGTAACTTAGCTTCGCAATGCTTCATATTATCTTGCGGGCTGGTGACAGAATGTGCCGTAAGGCTGCCGTGCACGCAAGGCTGTTGACATCTGTTGACACAAAGTGCAGAGTCTCACAAGGCAACGCAATTCCAACCACAGTTGGCTGTGCTCGACGATGCGGCTGGAAGCGTGGCTCAAAGCAGACGAAGATGCATCCGGCACTCTTGTTGGATGTACTGCGGTTAGGGATTGTTAACACATCACATTGGCGAGATTTGCACCTCGCCCTTGCCGAGTGCATTGGGGTTGAGGCTGGACCGGGATGAATTCCGAGAAACGCTGTAGGGACCTCGCTGGAATAGAAACGAGTCTGATGAGCCTCGGCATCTCAAGAATCTGCTTTTCCCAGCCCTTGAAACAATTCCACCGTGTTCCATCCCTCACTTCGAAACACCGATTACGACATCCATTCCCGCAACATCTCAGTGTGGGGGAGTCTCAGGCTGGAAGCTGAGAGGCCTGAAATAAGAAATGCGCTCCACAATTTAATTTAAGATGTCCAGCACCTCAATGTCTCGAATTTGGGGTGAAATAGCATACCTCCACCTCAAGTTGAAGACGTCCATCCCTTAAAAGAAACATGTTACTTGGATCGTCCCCACTCTGCTTATCTAGAACCGATGTGTCGGACAAGGGAATAGGATGATTAGCCACAAGCTTCCGTCGCAGTCTCCCGGAGTTTTGTGGGGTGGGCACTCCAGGGACAACTGGCAGACTCCTTGCCGGGCTTCTTTGGAGCGCCCTTCGGGAATACTCGGCGGGACTCTCCGCGAGCCTCTCGGTGGGCACTCCAGAGGTACTCGGTGGGACTCTCTGTGAGCTTCTTTAAGTTGGCAATTGGCACCTGCAGGGATGCTCGGCGGGACTCTTTCCGGGCTTCTCTTGGGGTGGGCACTCCATGAATTCATGAAATCCAGCCGCCCTCAGTGTGAGGGAACGGTCTGGTGTGAAAACCACAAGAACCAAGACTGTCGGGTTGAAACCGCCCCGGGTTTGATTCTTTTGCCACGCACTGAGCGTGCTCGTTTCTCTGTGCCTCGGAAAGCTTGGGCGGAAACCTTGTCTTGCGAGCCCTTTGGAAGGGGTGCTTATCGAAGGCCGTTCACCATCCTCGTCACGCTTTTGATTTCCTTCTTCGCAGAGTGTCTCTGACGAATCCTGCCTGATCTTGACTGCAATTGTATTGAGCTTCTTGATCTTAGGAAGAGATGTCGACTCACATGGTCGACTCAGCGATCCAGGCCGGGGCCAGGGAAGAGTAAGTACAGCGTACATACCGTGCGTTGATGCACATCTGTTCAAGCTCCTGGTGATCATTTGCCAGGTTCTTGCCAAGCACTCCTCCGCCATGCCTGCGCATGCACGGCAGCTGCAGTGAAAATCCGAAATGGGTCCGCGGCTCAATGTTGTGTGATGCCTGTGCAAGGCGCAAACATGCGCAAACGTAGAGATCTCAGAGATTGCTTGGAGGTACCTAGTTTGCACAGCACATGTGTCCACATGCTGCAGAGTTGGGGCCAGGCACTGGAGGCGTTGAAAGCCAAAGGGCGATGCCGGCAAGAATTTCTGAGAACCGGGCGAATGCTTTCACCGGAGGGTTGTAGTGCCGCGCTTTCGTACCCATTTTCTGTATGCATTATGCCTTGGCCAAAGAGGTATGTCATCGTGCAGTTCACCCCCGAGGATGGGCTGGTTGGGCTCGCGGTTGCGGTGTAGCCTTGGCCTTGAAATCTCCCAGGAGCAGGCCTGCCTGAATGACTTGTACCGCTGCAGCCGCGAGTTTTTCAGCAATCCTTCGAGGTACAAGGATTGCTGGGCCGTGCAACATGCTCTACCGTTGTAGATGTTGTAGTCACTCGTATTCAATTCCAGTCAACTGTGTTCTCGTCAGAGGAGGGCTTCAAGTTCTTCCCAATCCCGGGTGGCTACTTGACTCCCTTTCCGGGTACTTACGAGGTCAGCGCATGTTGTTGCGGAACGGATTGCCGATGCAGCTGTGTTCGTTTGCACATGTATGCTAATCGAGACAATCCATGCGCAAGGTGTTCGAGCTTCGCCGAGGATTGCCCAGTTGTCCTGCAGAACTTCGCCAGGTGGCGATTGTCTTCCCCCTTACTCCCCAGAAGGGCCCCACAACGTGTTGCAACGTCTTCAGATTCTGTTTGCGAGAAGTCTGCAGAATATCGTAGATAGTCATATTGCTCATGTCGATCTACCCAGACATGTTGCAAACAACTATTGTACTTACAGCCTTATTGGCCGTACTGGGCCCTGCCTTGGATGTGTGCCGCAGTCAGCCCTATGGCTCTTCCCCCAGCCATTTCTCACCGTTAGCGTACTGATCAGTGGGCATCGCGTGCTTGCGGTGCGTGTGAGGGACCTAGGCGGAGGCTCACCGTTCGCATACCAACAACGAGAGCTGCAAGTCGGGTCATGCTGTCGCAGCTTGGAGCGCTAGCAGTGCTGCTAGCTGCACCAGTGAACGCTGCGTGCCAAAACGGTTGCTCTGGTCATGGATCCTGTGGGCTTCTCGGAACATGTATTTGTGAAGGCAGCTGGGCAGGCCGTGACTGCAGCTTCCAGCTTTCTCTGGACACCGAAGTTTCTGAAAAGAATGTGGCTATGGCGGCTATGTCCTCAATGCCCCCTCTAGCAGCAGACCCGTTGGATTCTGCACAGTTGGTTCTCGGCACGAAGGGAAGGCACTTGCAGGATCAGTCGCAGGAGATCACCGATATCACCGATGCATCGGTCCGAAGCTTTGCGCAGTCTCGGCGAGCGGCAGAGAGTGCGTGGGCAACTGCAGACAAGCCCGGGGTCCCAGAGAGTTCGACGGGTCTGAACATGTTCGAACAGTGTACGAAGCCTTGAGACAGCGGCTTTGCCTTATACCGTCCCCATCCGTCCCCCGAATCGCGGCTGAAGGCTTTTCGCAGCAGCAAAGATGGAGAACGAGCGTGATGCAGCAGAAAGACTTGAGCGTGCTGTCGGCAATGCGCGCAACAAGAAGGAGCCAGCTTCAGGTTCGGTGTGTGTACAAGGTGCAGAATACTTGGGGGAATTTTGGGGAACAGCGGTATACAGTATCTCGGCAGGACATGATTCCTGGTCATGAGTTCAGTGGATTGCAGGCACTGGAAGTATTGAGCAATTCTCGATGTTTCCGTACATATGTATTCTTGATGTTTCCGTGCACATGTATTTGAAGGCTTCCTCGACGGCCTTGATCTCAGAACCGCTGTCAATTTCGTGGCCGGTTGCCTGCGGGATGTTGACGGCCGCAGGCTGGCACCCGCAGTTGCAGCCTGGACTGTAACAGCCAGGGCATCTGCTTGGCCGGCAAATGTCTTTGCAGACAAGGGTACTATGGCCAATCTTGCCGCCTGGCTATGGAAGCATGTTGAGAATGTCTGCTCTCTATCTTCTCCCATTGCGTTGCACGAGCATCTTTCAGGTGAGCACAAGCGGTGCCTCAATGATTGCAGCGGAAATGGACAATGCCGTGTAGGCCCCTCCCCCATGCTAAGCAGAAGGTGAAGCCTTGACGAGGATTGGTGCAGGGTCGTGTTATGCAGTGTAATGTCGTGTTAATGGCCGACTCTGCCAGGTCGATGTTCATGCTCGGAGAATTTCGGTGGAGAGGAGTCTCGAAAAGCAATTTGATACCAGTCCGCTTAGACAGCATCAGCGAGTTTTCACAGAAGGACTGCTCACAGCTTTTGGAGAAGCCGTTCTCGCTGGCTTCGATCCTCACTCAAGGACAGCATCACAGCGATTGCAAATACCCTCGCCCTGTCGCAATGGTCAGGTCTGGCTGCTGAGAAGCAGGAACTAGCAAGGCAGAACGAGGTCAAGCAGAGGAAGAAGGTGGTGTTTTAGCTTCAAAAGATAGACTTCGTGGGACTTGTTTCCTTGCTGCCGACAGAAGCGTGCCTCGAAAGGCTTGTCCATTGAACTGCGACAGCCACGGTGATTGTCGTGATGGTACCTGCTTTTGCCGTGATGGCTGGACGGGGCCGGCTTGTCAGGACATTGCTGCATCTGCCTGGCGGCCACACAGCGCCTGCACTACCTACACGTGCATGCTACGCAATTATTTATGGCGCAATTCATACTTCTGTGTGTAGCTTCCGGAGGACTACCTTCAAGCTTTGCCCAGACTCAGCCTCACCCAGGCCGCCAGAGCGCTGATGTGCTCTGACCGTTCAAGTCGGCTGTCTGTTCCTCCTCCTGCTGCTGCTGCTGCTGTGCCGCTTGTCTTCCCGATTTTGCGGCTCTTCTTTTCCTGAATGTGCAGTCTGCCGGTGTAACCCGCGGTGTAGACCTCTATAGCAAATCAGAGTTAAAAACACATACATCCCCGTGGACAGGCAGCAAGGAAGACCTGCGCGGACCCGACCTGCTCCGGTAAAGGCGTGTGTCGGTCAGTGGCTCAGAGGCCTTATTACACATGTACCGCACATGCACTTTGTCGGGACATGTCATTTAGAATTACTTGCGTTTTCGGAGCACATTTTGTCTTCAAGGCTTGGCCAGTGCAAGTGCCAGGAAGGTTTCCGTGGAGAGGCGCGCTCGATGTTAGGTGAAGGATGCAAGTCGAGTGGCCAATGTGTGGAGCTGCCTAGGCATGCGAGCTGATATCCGCAGCAAAGCCTAAGCCACTACAGCTGCAGCTGCAGCAGGCCTTCGCAGTTCCAAACTCCCGTCTGGGGTGGGGTTCTTGTTTAGGATGCTATCTGCAAGGGAGCGGACGTTGGAGACGAGAAGTAACGGGTCAACTTGCGATCAAGGATGTAGGCCATACCGTTGGGGGCGTAGCGCAGGCGACAGCCTTCCCCGAACATCCCAGAACGGAAATTTAGCAGACTGTTGGACATCAGGGCTGTGTCGGCAACGCACGGGATGTACATGCCTCACACAATGGCAGGTTTTGTCACATGAGCTGATGTGATTCTTGCGGAAGTGCTGCGTGCATGTATTGCGCGACAGCGTGCGGCTGATTCCTGGCTTTGATTGTCCTGATATGTTGAAGGGTGCTGGGGTGAATGTATGATGCATTGAATGCATTGTGCCTGCACGTTTCTCATCGTCGTTGTCGTTCTCCTGTCCACAAGATCCACAACTTGCGTGGCAGGCATGGATTTAGTCATGTTCGATCCCGAATCAATGTGTTATCGTGTATGTGTATGTGTGTGTGATGGATGTACGCGCAAATCTGTGCAAACCCTAAACCCTGAACCCTAGACTCTAGACTCTGAACCCTAAACCTAAACCTATACCCTCAACCCTGAACCCTAAGCCCGAAACTTGAAACCCTCAACCCTCAACCCTCAGCCCTAAACCTAAAGCCTGAACCCTGAACCCTCAACGCTAAACCGTAAACCCTAAACCCTTTAGCGATGTACATGCAGCCGAAGTGCCAGTGTCACAAGATCGAATAGGGCAGTAAACGAGAGCAGGGTTGATTTCTGTTTCAGGTCACCAAAGAAGATGAAGAACTTGCTCTGGCTTGTCCTGGAGGATGTAGTGGCCATGGCACGTGCCAGGCCTTGCTTGAAACGAGTGGTCTTTCACTGTGGCTGCAGATTTTGTTCGGAGGAATTGTTTTGTTGAAGGAGTGTCGCAAGTGGTTTCAGGCATCCTCAGCAACAGCCCCTGCCAGGCAGGCATCTGCGAGTGCGAGGCTGGCTGGCAAGGCTCCGGCTGCAGCATCAATGAGGCAGCGGTTGGCGCCAACGAGGCGAAGCCACTGTAACTGACTTGCTGACATGTGGGCCATGAGGAATATGTGGGCTCTGTGGTCTTGTACTCAAAGGATGCCGACCTCGGGGCACATGTACCTTCTGCCGGCTCGTGGATTTCTGCGGCAGCGCACGTCGCTTGACTGTATCTGCCCAATTGCCTGTTTTGCTCAATGAATCAATCAATCATTCCAGGCACCTTCCGGCAAGGCCCTTCGAGCAAGTCTACAGCAGATTCAGCAGGTGCAGCCAGTGCTGGCAGATGGATGCTCTCAAAGAATCTGCCAGACATGTTTGCAGGAGCCAACAGCGCAGGCATCTTGCCCGATGGTTCATTGGCAATGTGTGGTGTCAGCGGGTGATCTTCTTCCTAGATCAACATGCCGCTTGTGGAGGTATCCGCTCTGAACTCGTGGTTGAAGGCTGCCAGTACTGCGAGCACTGACCGTGCTGCGGATACCTCAGTACAACGAGGAAGCAGCGATGACTATGACTCTCTGCCGGGTAAGGGCCATTGGAGGTCGTTGGCATGAATCTATATCTGTACGGTCTCGATGCTGTCCTGTGTGTGAGGTCGATCGGCTGGCATCCTTGCTGAAGGGTGCCATTGCAGCTCCGCAAGACTGAGACCTCAGAGAAAAAGTGTCAGCTCATCACATCCAGGGGTGTCCTTCGAACTTACAGGGTGAGCCTTCGGATCTTTCCCTCCTAGCGCGTAGGGTCACGTGGTTGGGCACTCCTGGTAAAGCTTCCGAGCATGGACATTGGCGCAGGCGGGGTTTGTTGTGGGCTTAGGCTCGTTTTCATGCGCTCTGCATCTTGGCAGTGCCAGTGGCTCCTGGCACGAAAGCGAAAGCGAGGTCAATGAAAGCCAGGTCAACTTACCTGGTTGTCACTTCAATACGATCGTTTAAATAGAGAGCCATGAAGTACCTCGATGCGAAATCCAGCCATGATGCAAGCAAATCAGATGTTCTCGCACACAGTTTTTTCTACTAGAATGCTTCCAGGTTTGTCTACAAGGATGGGGTTGACCTGTAGATGTCAATAAACACAACGAGAGGAAGGAAGAACAGGTTTTGCCAGCTAGCGGGTTTGGCAAGTCCATAGCTTCCGGAGTCCATGCTCTAGGTCCTCTGTGAGGTCCTCTGTGAGGTCCTCTGTGAGGTCCTCTAGGTGCTTTAGTCTCAGTCTCTTCAAGCTTCCGCCATCGCCACGGCCAGGCTATGGAAGCGTTTGCTTTGTTGGAAAAGGTGGCCATTGACTTTTCTGCAGAGGCCCGGAGACATTGTTGTGGCCCAGATCCAAGATGTTCTGGGAACTAGGGTTGCGCGAGCTGTGGCCCATACGGGAGTTGTGTGCCAGATTGGTCACGACGTCGGCCTTGATTTGCACCGAATGCCAAATGACACTTCGTCAACCATGAGGTAACGTGGCTGCACGGTGCGCGATTCGTCGTTGAGCACTAAACTACCATTTCAATACTCTTTGCTACCACTATTCTGATCTACGCTGCTTCGCGTGGTTTGGTTCTTTCCTTGCTGAGGTGCATTCACTACGACCGCCCTCTTGAGAGCCGCGGTGCTACAGACTTGCCCCAGGACAGGTGAGTCTTAGTGAGATTCAAGTTTGAGCCAGAAAGGGTTCTTGAGAAACTCCAGGTGGCGATACCAAGCATTGCTGTGGGAGCAGAGGTGGGCCGGTAGGGCTGCCGTACGACATGTCAGACTCCCTGATGTGGACGATGTTGCAATGTCAGGTGGATACATGCGCTAGCGCGAGACATATTGCATTGCCAGGTGCGGCTGGTAAACTTGCAAGGCGGCGAGGCGACTCTGAATGGGTGCAAGGCAGGATGCTCGCAGTTTCTCAGCCTTGCAGGCTGAGGCTTCAGATGCTTCAGGAGATGTCCCTGAAATCTGCAGGGCGTTGTTGCTGGCATGGACAAGGACGACTTCCAAGTGTCCCTGGCCGGGGCACCAGAGGCCCGGGCTGCACTCTGCACTTTATAAGCTTGTGCGTTGGCATCGCTTCATCTGTCGTTGGACTTTTCTGCATGGGCCCACAGATACAGGCGTTGTACTCGCCTCCACAGATCCCAAAAGAGTGCCAAGTGTCCATGCAGTCTCCGCGCTGCAGGCAGTACTCAGCGCCAGAGGCACTAGATCAATCGTCGTGCGGCAGGATTTCTTGGCGTGAACCGTGAGATGCAGGCTTTGTGCCCTGAAGGGGCGCTTCTCGTGTCCAAGACAGGACAAGCTTCGTCTACTTCGTCCTGATGCTCCCGGAATGTGTGGCTCTTGGAGAGAATGTTCCGAAGACATTTCCGAACAGTGGATTTTTTTCAGAAGGTATCCAGCCCATACCGATTCATCGTTGATCACGGTCGCGCCGAAAAGCTCTGCACCTGGATTGGAGGTTCGCGCTGCCTGTGTACGTTGGCCATGGGGATGGGCAGTGGACTGAACCGCAGGTGAAGGATCTGCAAACCGGCGAGTGGTTCAACATCGAGGTTGCTGGCCAGTTTCCAACGGGCAACTGGAGTTCACATGAAGTTTTCATGTCTCTTCGTCTGTTCAAGGACATGCTACAAGTCGGTGAAGCCCTGCTATTTGTGGGCGATCCGTTGGTTGCCGACTGAGCTAGAAGGCATTCTAGAAAGGCATGGTTCATCAAAGTGCATCTGCAGTTGAACGGCACAATTGACACTTGATCCTCAATTTGGTAAGGACTATGCATCTGGCCACCGGTACCCTGCTTTGATGCACAGGCCGTAAGACATGTTCTCAAACCTGTTCAGAGAAGCTTTTCAACGTCAGAATCCGGTCGGAGTCAAGCAGCGGTGTGCGCAAGGGGACTGGACTGGACTTGACTGGACTTGACCGGACTTGACTGGACTTGACTGGTCTCAGCTCAGCGCGCAGGTGGCAGCAGCACTAAAACATGCCATAACAGTTGACACGGTCTACAGGCCTACACCAACCACAGCTGCATCAAGAAGCTACGGCTGACAAGGGCGTAATGTTTTATGCGTAATGCTGCACCGGCTTTGTGAAACCTCAGCCAGCGCAGGAAAACAGGAAGCAATAGGGTTCCCGCCAAGCCCCTAGGGATTTTTTCAGATGGGTCGTCTAAAGAGCACGGCACTTTGTTTGGGTGCGTGCAGAGGGGTTGAGCTGAGCCCCGCGTTGTGGCCATGCCGCTTGCTTTGCCGTGCCATGTTGAAAAAGCTTCCCTCCCAATGAGTGTGGATGTTTATGCGCGCTCTGTGAGGGAACTTCGTTAGTGCACAAGTGAAGGGCTAAAGCCCGGACGAGACGCGAAACTATATGGCCAAAACCAGTGGCACGGCTGCAGCAAAGGTACAAACACCACTTCTGTTGAAAATGTAGCATGTGTGCAACCGAAGTTGTAGTTAAACTGGCTCATTGTCAGCCTTGCATAGGGTCGACAAGTTGTCCGTGCATCTGGCAAACGATGCCCTTTTACTGTCCTTTTACTGTCTCACCTCGCCAAGGGCATCGACGCCCTACATGCTACTTGTACCTACAGGATCTTCAGTGCCTATAATGCAGTGCATCAGTCGTTCTGGCAGGCCAGCAGTCTGCAGAGCTGGTCTGCATCCCAGATGGCAATCACCACTAAGTACAAAATGCAGAAGTATGAATAGATACAGTACCATGATAGGCCGTCCCCATCTTTTTTTTGCAGAGCTTCTGTTTTTGGTCATTCAAGCTTTGCAGAGTTCAGTTTAGGGGTTTCATTGTCTCGGCTTCAGGGTTCAGGGGGCACTTCCATTTAGAGCACAGCCTGGCCGGCATCATGGGGTGCAGGAAAACGATTAGCTGCTTAGCCTGCTGAGCTGACTTAGCTCTTCAATGGAACTTCGACATGTTGCCAAGGCTCAGCTCCTGCGGCAGAGGCAGAGACGGGAAGCCACATGAAGGCACGTTGACGTGGACATGAAGATTGCGTCGTCACCTGTCAGCACCGGATCTCAACGCCTTTCTTCCTCTACCCTCGGTCCGATGCTGCGGGGAGCTCGGCCAAGTGGTCATGCAGTGGTGGGTTCAGACGCAGCACGGATGAGGCAGAATAAGGCAGACTTGAGCTTCAGTGGACAACATGTGGTAGCAATTGTGGGCTGCTGGTCGTTGACTTTGAAGGTCCTTCTCTGTGAGTGCTTGAAGCGTGCGGCAGGTGTTGGCTCCAAGCTGGCTACCGCGCTTGGTGTGCCGTGCAGCTTGCTGTGCTGTATGACTTGCCATGGTCATTCCTGCATTTACTGCGTAGTACAGGTGAGCCAAGAGCCTGCCCGCCAGGTTTTCGAAGATTTAAATGGCAATGTCAACAAATGCCGTGATCGATTTCCGTGGAAGGCTGCGAGTCATCATCAGTAGCTGACTAAGCCAAGAAGACTGTGCATTGCAAGTCTCAGCCTCTCACGCGTGCTGCTCGGCAGAAACACACGTGCTACTACAGCGACCTGGTCTATTCTGAGCAGAAAGACTAGACGCCATGATTGACAAACTCAGCGCGTTGCTCAGCATGTTCAGGATCAGCTGAAAAGTTTATGACTGGGAAGGAGCAGAATCAGGTAAACAGTGGCTACATGTTGACGGCGATTCTGACGACCTTTGTGCAGACCGACGTGCCAGGACTGACAGCGTTTATGTTTTTCTTGGCTGTTTGGCCAAGCAATGCCTCCTGCTTGCTCGGTACAGTGCTGCGGTGCTTTTTGTGACCAGGATCGGGTGCTTCGACGTTCAAGGTCCCAGCTACTGCTTGCCGTGAGCCGGGCATGCCCGAGACGACTTTGGGACGTCTGGCATGACGACGCCATCGCCAGAACATTGACATGGACGCCACCACCATCGACCGCCAGATTGCATCGCAAGCCCAATCCACGGGCATCATTGAAATCATCGTTGTCGCTCTCATGATCTGTTTCTGATGTCGTTGGTCTCGACGATGCTTCTTGCAAACATGCCGGGCTGCAGAATGAGCAAAAATACCTTTCCAGCGCTGATGCCAGCCGTTCCAACCATGAGCCACTGCAGCGTTGTAAGCTGTTATGCGTTGCCTGTGCTTGATGCTTGAAAGACAAGGTAAGGGCGGCGGAAAAGCTGGAAAGAGTGAAGTCCGAAAAGGAGGTGCGTCAGAAGGTCATTGCCTCAGGTTGTCAGAAAGAAGTCATCGCGGAGGTCCAATCGAGGATCGGGGGCGCGTGCAAGTGAGATGACCTGCCCAGGTAGACCTGGAAAAGGGGGTGGAAAAGCTGGCAAAGAGGCTTCCAAGGCGTTGAGTGGACGTTGCTGTTGTCATTTCACGGACCTTCAAACTTTTTGCTTGGCTGCTTGGCTTGTGAGGTTCCACAAGTCCGCAAGCCGCAGCTAGACGACGACAGCGACAGTGAGGAGGATGACGATGACGAAGTGCAAGCCAAGAAGGCTTGCCCCTGTCGCGTGTATTCACATGTTGTTCGCATGTTGTTTCACATCCATGGCCCGACTGCGGGAGAGCTTTGTTTCTCAAGGGCATGGGGAGAGCAACAGATAAGAAACAAAAGACCATCTTGTCGCGGCAACAAAGAGGCTTTTTGCTTATTTAACGTTTGGGTGCTACAGTGCTACTGTATAGTGGGCGCTGAGACCCCTAAAAACACATCCCGCAGTGCTTGTAGTTGGGAAGGTGACTAGAGTGATCAAAAGACAAAGACAAAAAAGGTCGGATGCCGAGGTCTACGGGTTTCGGGTGGTGGTAATGTCTTCATGGGGTCTGCATCGAAGCTCTTCACTCCTCACACCCTATGCACGAAGTTTTCTGTGCCCCCGCAAAATGAAGGCACAAGGGGTTGTGAAGAAATGTGAGGAACCACAAGCTCCCTGGGCCACGGGAAAATTGACGCTCCTTCGGCAAAAAAAACTCATCGGCGGATGTCTTAAGGGTTGGACTGCAGTCAAAGGCTCTCGCACATACACCAACTCGCAGCTGCCAGCCGAAACTTGGACACTCCAACCCACAGACGCTCGCCCACCCCAAAGCACGGAGTTCAGTTACTTTGAGGCAGGGGGCGTACCTGCAAGCCAGCATTTAGTGAGAAATTTCGGTTGAACCTCCGCAGGCACCTGCCGGGACGAATAGCCAGCCGCAGGCGCGGCATGAGCTGTCGCAAAGCAACGGTTCAAGAACGGCGTGTCATCAAAGTTGCTGCACTGGCAAGGAAGAAATGTCGGAGGAGATGAAGCAGATGGCTGCTCTAGGCTTGCCAGTAAGTTTTACTGCCAGTCAACACGCAGGACAGCCCCGGGTTGACTCACGACATTCACGACATTCACGCGCGTACAAGCTTGTCACACACAACTGGTCATAACAGTACCAGTGCAGACGTAAGCTTGCTGAAGGAGGAGACGATTCGGAAGAAGAGGATGCCTCCGATGGTATCGGCTAGTGCATGTGCAACACGAAAGACGTGCGCTTGACCCTGCCTCCAGGAGGAGGACGAAGATGACGACTAAAGCTGTGAGAGCATGCGCCCAGAGAGGAGTCGCACGCGAAGAAAAGAACATGTTCTGCCTGTGCTGCTCGAAAGAGCTGCGTCTGAAGCAGCGCCGGTCTCGCGCCAAAACCTCATGCCACTTTCTTCCATGGGTTCTCTGCAGCTGCGCTCACGAGCTGATGTGCCTGAAAGGTGGACTTGCGGTTTTGCAAGAGCATAAGACCTACTTGGAGTATTTGAGCCCGCCTGGTGGATGCTTCGGATATCAACACCGCATGAGTCAGTAGCCCTCGATGTCAAGCAGCCTTCACTTACACCCCTGTTTGGACATCCACACTTCGCCACATTGCCTCAGTTTTCCACCTACATGTCCGCAGCACAGATCCAGGATCGCATGATCTTTGTTCGGTGCATTTCCCCTGTCGCGTGCTTCATGCTTCAGTGCTTCATGTTTGCTAGGAGCTGTTCAAAAGGTTCGACAAGGACGGTAATGGAAGGCCTGGGGCGAGCGGTCCTAAGTCTTCAGTTGGATTGCGCCTTGATGCAGTGCTGAGGATATCAGCGTCCGAGCTGCAGAACGTCCTCACATGGATCAACAAGGACATAACGGTTGCGGAGATTGGACAAATTCTTCGCGAAGTTGACACCAACAATGATGGTTCCTTGGTGCAAAATGAGGAGGAGACGGGGGATAGGAGGGGGAGAGTCCCGTGAACCGGGGACCGGAATCATAGACAGCTCATATGTATATATATATATATACATACATACATTACATATGCATATAATACAATCCCCCCCCCCCCCAAGACCCACCCCCCAAGATCCACAACTGTATTTGTCCGCTAGGGGGCTGTTGGCACTTGAGCAAGCCCATATATATATATATATATGTATATATGTATACATAATTACTATGCATGTACGTATATATATTTTTTTTTCAAGACTATTAATTTGGTCTTAGCTAGTCTGAACACCTGCCGGCTACCTTGTGCCAAGGTGCCATTGATTACAACGAGTTCGTTGCCTGGACACAGGGCGGAAAGAAGACCCTCGCCAAGAAGAAGCAAACCTCGCTCGTGCCAGACCTGCAAGCCGCGCTGGAAAGAAGCCAGTCAGAGGCTGCAGCCGTGGCATCAATCCCTTTCGATGCCGTCATGGCAGTCACCTACACAGGCAGCAGGGCATGTCGGGACAGTTTTCCTCTGCGACGATTCTTTGTCAAATCGGCCTGTCAAAGACAGAAGAGCCTTGTTGTCCGAGCCAGTGCTTCGCCGCAGGTGAGATCAAACAGTTCGATAAGAGCGGCGGCATTCTGGAGGCGATGGGGGTGAGGACACCACACAACCAGAGCCCCTCGCATGAGTGAGAGCGAGCTTGAAGCCTGAACAAGAAGCATAGCACGCATCATGGAGTACATTGGACAGTTCGCAAGTCGCATAAGGATATACCAACGTTGAAGATGCTGGGCCCTTATCATCTGCTGCCCGTATTGGCACCACTCAAAACTGATCGCTTTGCCGCCAGGATATTAAGCATTTAGAGAAGGTGAAGGACCGGAGTAAAAGGAGCATCTTCTACGTGATGTGGCACGTGCTTCAAGCTTGGGAGGATCCACACAAGCTGAATCTAAACTGCTTTGCAGTGGACTGGGGCTCCAGGCTCGGACCCTGAAAGTGCTGAGTGTCAAAGCATGCAGCGATCATTTTTGAGTTCTCTTTCCGACTGCCAGTTCGGGAAGTGCATCTTGGTAGGAATGTGATAACGGCATCAGCTGACCACACGCTGAAGATGTGGAATTTTTACGGTAATGTGCTTCGGACTTATGCTGGACATCCATCAGAAGTGTTGCCACCTGGATGCAGGGGCTGTCACTTCTTATGGCAGGTAATTACTACACACCCTATGCTGTTTTGCTTCAGCGATGTAGCGATAGCCAGGGTAAGCCAGTCAATTCTCAGGTGCGTTGATGTTGATTGGAAAAACCATCGCATGATCAGTGGAAGTTTGGCTTCTGATCTGAAGATGTGGAGATTGGACAGCTCGACACCGTTGCGCTCATTTAATGGATCAGGCGTTGGCACCAGCGGATCTTGTCTGACATGCCTTCGACTGCAGGGATATCATGCTTTTGCATCTCGCTCATTTGCAATGCGAGACTCCGAATCCTCTACTTCGCAGACAGTGCCAGGAACACGTGACACTATGCATTGAACATTCCCTCGTAAAGCTTCCCAACACGGCGGGATTGGAACAAAAACAGTGCCAATGGATTCGTGAACCAGGGCTGAGGTGTACTTCGCATGCTATATGGGCAACCGATGTGAATTGATTTGGTTGAACATCACCTGATTGTCGCGAAAAAGCACGGCAAGTCGTTGTCTTGTACATCTCTGGTCCAGCTTAAGCCCCTGTTTGATATCCGTTTCTTGCAGTTTCGCTTCGTGCAAGATGGAGGGCTGCACACGACGAACATCAAGGAACCCAACATGACTGCTTTCAACATCCAGCTGTGTGAGGGAACACAGCTAACCTCCTCAAATGTTTCTGACGGATTGATATTGAAATGAGCGTCCTTTTTTTGTGCAAGAAGGGTCGTTATCAATGTCCCATATCCAATGCGCAAGTGTCCACTAAAGACTTTTGTTGATGCTCAGAAGCAGGCACGCTTCAATCCAAGCCTCGTCGGCATTGCTCAGACAAGCAAAGCAGCAATGGGCAAATGCAAGCCGCACGTTTTAACTTTTATAAGCCCTTTCATACAAGTGCGAAGTGAGTAATTGCAAAGTAGTGCACACGGTGCAGCTCGGATCTGCGTTGGATCGTCTTACAGCTTCAAATCAAGACCCTGCAGGTGCAGGTGGAGTTGGATGCCTTTGCGTCAACTGGAAGATGCATCGGGCGCTTTGTGGCTGTGGCAAGCTGATCGAGCTGAAGCTTGGCTGAAAACTCGCACCTGAATATGCTGCCGCCACGCTTTCGTGAAGTCCATTGAGTGAGACAGGTGGGACATATCTGCCAAAGGCAACGATGAGAAACCTTCACAGCGGCTGACTGCCTTTACCGGCCATACTGCTCCGGTACTGTCACTTCTAGTGGATTGGGCCGAGCAGATCATGATCTCAGCTTCTTCAGTCGCAGTCTCAGTCAAAGCCATGCCGAAACGACTGAAATGACTGCAAAACAATTGCAAAATGATGCCGAAATTACTGAAGTGATCAGCTCAGACACGTAGGTTGTTATGGCACCCTGGCTGGCCCCTGGGTTATGGCTTCTTCTCACTTGTTGATAACTCTTTGGCTCACTGCGGCTGATACACGTCGATCACATCTGTTTCGCAGCAACTAGACTCTAGAGCATCTTAGGGTCCACCCAAAAGCGTGCCATTGCCAGTTCTCATTGGAGTGCCATCATGAGACTCAAATGCAAGAAGCCGAGACTGCAATTTGCTTGGCTTGCATCTGGGAGATGTCCCGATCTCAGGCCGACTGTAAGCAAAAATCTGCCATAGTGGCCCCTTTAACCTCTCTTTTCATTGCCGACTCGGTACAAAACCTGCTTAAGTCAAGCCCAGTTTTCTTAAATTCCTGCAATCACTGGGAGGAAAGATCTCTTGAAGTCGTGCATTTGAAGTCATAGACTGGTACGCACATACCCCGAAACCTGACGCAACAGAATTTGCTGCGTTTCAATGGGGTTTCCTGCATGTCCCCTGGCTGATCTGCACAATTGGCGTCTACGGTTTTTTGTTTTTTAATACTGTTCTGGGCCAAGCAGCAAATAGCTACCTCCAGAAGCACAAAACAAAGATTCGCCTTACGCGGAGCATGCCCAGCTCAAAATTAGTTTTCCGGGTGTGGGTTGCTTGCTCGAACTGCCGCCAACCACTCGCTGATGCTGATGATGTTTGCATTCATTTTTTCTTTATTATTGTTTTTATTGTTTTTGTTATTGTTTTCTAGGTGCTGCAGAGACAATTTTCAAGAGGCTCGATTTCCTCCACGAGTGTTTTGAAAAAGGGCAAAGGCATGATTTAGGTATGAGAGCCCAAGGCATGACTTGGGCATACCGACATCATCTCAGCTCAGCATCTTTTCAACACCAGTAATAAAATTCAAGCTTCGCTCATGCGGACTGTGCTCATTGGAGTCGAGCCCCAGCAACCCGAAAACGGTCTTCCCAGTCGCTGCCCAGGACAAGACTTTGCGGAGATGGGATCTAAAAGATTCGGTGCTTCTCGAGACCTTTCCCGTTGGAGACGCGCAGATCAGGTGCTTGAATGGTCTTCGTTGATGCTATGCATCACTGATCATCACTGCCATGAGATTTCGCATTGCCAGGTGCCTCTCTAGCCCATTCAGCCCAGCTACGTCAGTGGTGGCGGGTGATGAGAAGGGTAACCTCCAGATCTGGGACACCAAAACTGGAGCCGTCGAGAAGCGGATGTCTGGGCACACTGCCTGGAGCCTAATGGTCACTGAGCTTGGCTCTGCGAATGTCGGTTTCCCATCTGTGGCTTGGCCTTGGGGCATCAAAGCTCGGTCCAAGCGGTTGCACACGCAAACGTGCCGCAAACTGAAAGTCGAAGAATTGCTGGTATTGAAGCGCCGACGAAGCCGACGATCAAGAGAAACGAAAATCAAGCGAAGGAAGAGAAGTCAAAAGCAGACGCAACAAAGTGCCAGTGGGAAGAACGCGCTGCCGTAGTAACGGCCTGCATTTGCGAGACTTTGCTGCGAAAGAAAACCCTGCAGAGAAGACCTGGGGCCCGGCTGGTGTCGGCTGACTGCTCACACGGGCCTGTGTGGAACAGGCATGTTGACAGCTTCTGTTGGACTTGCTCTTCTTTGAGAGACCTCTGTTCGGGCATCGGAAAGAGTTTTGTCGCGCAGCGACAGCGCGAAGCGGGATTACGAGGCTTCATAAGGATTAGGAGACAACGCGATTCCCAAACTTCGATGTGACGGCGTAGACCAATGCAAAGCCCTCCCAAATGGATTCTTTTGTCGACTGCAATGCTAGGAGTACTGTAGCAACAGACGCGAGATCCATGCCAAGTACTCCTAAAAGGTTTGTGGTTTGACGTCCGGTCTGTTGTTACTTGTCAATTGAGCTGTGACCTTTGCTTGCTTCGTATAGTCCTGCCTGATCCCACGAGCATGCTGCTCAGATGAAACTACCCCTGCTTCAGGATGGTGTGCTGTGCGTATCCCAGGTGCATGCAGGCTGGATGGGGAAACCTTGCCAACAGACACTTTGCACGTTGTTCTCCACATGCCACATGGGGAAGGAGGTGGGTTGGTCAAGTCACGCAGAAATCCAAGTGTGTTTCGCAAAGCTCAAGTTGATTCGCCTTGCCAAGAGCTGATCCCTTCCCCTAAACGACCCCAGATCTCACTTCTCTAAAGTGAAACTCCGGAAACGTGTGAAAGAGTTGTTCATGGGGATAGTAGGAGGTATATGATGGTATTGGATTTCGGAAGTGCAGTCCAAGCACTATACCCCCAAGCTGCCAGCTTGCGATACACAGCCTCCCAAATCCAGTAGCATCACCATGGCCATCGTTCACCCGGGAACAGTGTTGTGAAGCACGTGGCTTTGAGTCAAGGACACTTGCTCTGTCTAGTTGCAGCAGAGTGGACGGCAGGGGTGATTCAGCCCGTGAACTTATAGTGAAATATGGGCCCCTGAAATGTTTGCAGCCGTCAAAAAGATTATAGAAGGGCCTAAGAGGCTGCCGCTACTCTCAGCGCATGTGTGAAGGCGATTTAAGGCGGTATGGAGTCGGCACAGAGAGTAGCGAACCCGTAAAGGTTGCAGCGATGCCCATTTACTGCTTTTGCTCGGTTGTGCCGGGGTTGCTGGTTCGTAGTTTTCGGCGCCCTTCGCTCGTCTCAAAAAGTCTCAAGTCGAACTTTCGCGATTTTCAGACCTTGCCAGCCCGAACTGACATCCCTTCAGAATTTGAAAGTTAAACGCAATCTGAAAACTACACCTTTATGGCCTGGCAAAATAACAAATGAGTAATGTAATGAGTCAAAAGCCTCAGCACACCCGCCGCGCACAAAAGGGTTCTGGAAACAGATCTAGCTTGGCAACTTTCAGCTGCTTCGGCAGTTGTGCCTCTCCAAACCTGCAGTGCCTAGAACAAGCAATGAAATACAGGGCGCAAGAACAGCTTGAAGGCGGCTCTGAATTCCTTCCAAAACCCTGGCAGTCCCCAAACACCTTGAATCTCACTCAACTTTCTCTAGGCACCAATAAACCCGTAGCAGTTGCTTTGCAGGTTTCGTCGTAAGTGGAGGGCGAGACGGCCGACTGTGCTATTGGCGGCTGGAAGACGGTCTTTGCTTACGGTCTGTGGAGGTTTCGGAAGTCAGTGCAGGCCGAACGACTGCTAGCAGTAGTTTGACCGCGCCTTTCGGCCATGGACATGTCCGGCAGATGCTAGGGTTCAGATTTTGCTGGGCTTGGGTGGTGTAGGGTTGCCGATGTGAATGCAACATCCCCCGTACTGCGGTGGCTACTTGGGGAGTCTTGACATGCTGATGAGCGCGGCAGCCAGCCCCCAACAACGATTGTTTGACGATATTCGTGATTCTACGGCACGGGCCGGATGCAAGGTCGACGTGAGTGTTGATGGTGTCCTCTAGGGTCCGACCCTGCAAAAGGGGTTCGGAGCTCTTGCGATCCTGTAAAGCCATTTCCCATGCAAAAAGCGAACAACAAGGGTGGGGTGGGGCATGTTGGGGGGAGGGGGGTGGGATTAGTGGGCAGACCATGTGGTCGTGGAGTACTTACGGGAAGCTCCGACGTCCATGCCCAGGTGGGCTGAAAGCATCTTGCGATGTTGTCGATTTCAAATTCGCGACCGCTTCGCTGTTGCAGTTTCTGATGTTTGGGTGTTGAAACGTGCTGCTGGCAGCCGCTTGTGTGGGCGCGAGGGCGAAACATGAAAGATCAACTAGGCCAGGGCCATGTTGAGCACATGTTGCCGTGCTGCCATCAGCGTAGTATATTAGAAGAAAGTTGCTTTAACCCCCTGCGAGCGTCGCACAGAGTACGGGCTCAACGCACACAACCCGATCTCAACGATACGTGTTTTTTTGTCTTGCGATGTGGGTGGGCCAGTCCAGGACGGCGTAGCATGATGCAACACGCAGCCAGATCGGAATCGGCGTAGTTTTGGAGAATGCTTCAATGCAGCTTCAAATCGGGGACATGCCCATGTCCGAATCGTGTGACCGTGCGCAAAGCACTGCATGCACAAAGCACTGCATGCGCATGTGGCGGGTACATGAGCCACACGAGTCGTCCATACAGATGCTTGTATGGATTTCGTGACGTGGCTTCTTGGTTTCTTTTCACTTTCTTGGCTCTTTGGGCTTCTGGGCTTCTTGGCTTTTCAGACTACTTTGTCCTAGGCCTTCCAGGCTCATTGATTTGTTTCACTTCTTTTGTTGCGGTGGTGTTGTTGGCTTTTGAGCCTCTTGGCTGCCTGGCTGTTTTCCTTTTTACTTCTTGGCCAGCTTTGTCTTCGAGGCAGACAAAACGGTTATTGTGTCCTCCCAATCAGCTTGGGTGCTGGGAGGGTCTTCTCTTCGAGCACTCCCCGAAAAACTTTCTGTTGGGAGGCCTTGCCAAGCTCGGTGGAGAAGGTAGTAGAACTAACTATAGCTGCTCATGGGTAAGTTGCATGTGCCGTGCAGTCCTATGTGATTCATGAAGCGTGGGAGAACCCATGAAGGTGTTTGGGTGGTGGGTGTTGCCATGCTACCAGAGCGAGCCGACGATCATCGAAAGGCAAGCTACAGATGATAGCCTTGGCAGTAAACATGTGGTGTCAGTACAGAGATTGCTACGGATTCCGAAACTTTGTTGTCTTCTGTTGGCCTGCGCAGCAAGGCCATGGCAAATGCCCGACATGGGACATTTGCAGATGGACTGGCAATGACTTCCGGTCATGGCCCCTAGCCCTAGCGGGCCTGCAGCTCAATGTTAGCGGCGGTGGCTAGGTGCAAGATGTCAGCGTTGGATCAACAAGGCTTGGCAAAGTCAAGCCTTCTCGACGGACCTCAAGGGAAAAGAGCGGCAGCAAAGCTTCCTCACACCCATGTCATCCTCTCGCCTGAATCCTGCGCGCACCTTCCGCTAAAGACACTGGCCTTGTGCCCGGCCGCACGCTGCGGCGGACGCTGCGACTTGATGCGACTTGCAAGTCGACCTGCGAAGCATCGTGGAGCGATGTGGAGCGACGTGGAACGCGCAACTTCAATGATGCGTGTAGTATGTGTAGTGCACGGCTGTGCACCTACAAGATCGTATAAAAGGTGGAGCATGGGCGAGCCATGTGTGACAGGCGCGTGATTGTAAGAGCCTTCGAGCGAGGTGAATGTGACCCGCGTTACTGCGCTGCGGTTAAGTGGAAGGAGCTTGCGCTCGCCTTCTCACAGTGTTGCCGGTGATGCCGCCCGCTTCAATCACCTTTCTTACTTGTATCCTTACTGTAGTTGGGCGATGTGACGGTCTTTGCTCTCCACCCTGCCAGTAGAACGCGCCATACTTCTTGGCGTAGCTGATCGGCCTCGGGATTCACCACTTCGCACACGTGTCACTGTGCTATGCCGTGCTTCTCGAGGTTGTCGGTGTCGTGTTGGTGGCCTGAGTCTTTGTCGTCCACCTCCAAGACCAGCTTGATTCGCGAGGATTGTTCTTTTTGAATCACGGCCTTCGGTTGTTAATCTCATCCTGATGAAGGCAACACTTGGAAATTTCGTGGCATTCGTCCACTGGACCCTAGAAATTCACTACTTGCCAAAGGCGGCTCCCTTTGAAAACTTGATTGGCGGCCGGTCTTGGATTTCTACAGCTTGTTTTTCGGGCAAGTAACCGCTCAGGAAACTTTGGGGGTTTGGGGCGAGGTCTCCCGATTACGTGGGAGAGGTCTATTAGTTAGGGGCTTGGGGCCTGAAAGGCTGCATGCCCTTTGAAAACTTGGCCGGTGGCCGGCTGTAGTAAGAGTTGTTATTGATGTTTATGGTTTATTGATATTTCTTGCACCATCGCGTAAAATGTCACAACGACCTCGGAAACAAAGCAAACATAAACAACCGAATTATCATGTCTTCTGGTCAAGATGCAGTGAATGAGTTGTACAAGTCATAGTTCGTCCATAAACGTCTATTAGAAGTGTTTAGATTCCAATGTTGAGTTTTTTTGCCTGTTTGTCCGCGAACGAAGCGGCCAAAAGAAGCACGCGTAGTGCAATAAGAGCACTGGTTCATGAAATGGATCATAAAGTTCACGTGTTGCAAATGGAATTTCTCTTGTTTTCCCTTGCGATCCTTCATGCTTGGTCTTCCTGCCAAGGGCCCCAGCTTCGCCACCCTTTGCCCTTCGGCTCGCAGTTTCCTCGTCGGCCGCGACAACTGGGTGCCCCCAAAGTTACATGAGCTGAGTAACTTAGTGTGGCTTAGTATGGCTTCGTGCTTCGCAGGGCCCGGAAGCCGCCTCCTCCCAAAAATGAGATGGAATCTACAGTTCTTTGTTTGAAAACCCTTCTGAGGAGGCATTTGGAGCTCTGACGTCGGCCAAGGGTCCACGGGAATCCGTGGGTCCATGGAGCCGCTAAGGCGCAAAAACAACGCCAAATTGTGCAGCATCATTGGTCGACGATGTCGGGAAACTCACCAACTGCGGTCGCATGTACTTCCTCGAGACGATTAGGCGATGATCGCATTGTGCAGAATGTTGTGGGCCGTGTTGGCAAGCCGGCAACTGGCCTGCGATGTTGTGCGCGCTGAACGAGCATGTTCAAGTGAGTCCGTGCCACAAACCCGAAGGTGCGCTTGTTTGGACACCGGTGTGACGAGCGAACCGCCCATCAGCGAAATCATGATGTTCGCAAGGAGCGAAACCCTCAAAATTTAGACTCATTGGGGCATACAAGGCGACTTCGCACGATAGAATTCCGGATTGTTCCTGATTCTTCCAGGGACATTAAGGATGATAAGGATGGGATTGTCAAGGACCTGCTTTAAAGTTAAAGTGGGTTGTTACTCAATACTTTGATCAATAGCTTTACGAAGCCATCGAATGCGTCTGCAGGGCATCCAAATGTTGTTATGTGCTCCTCATAGAGTAATGTAGTGATTGCAAGCGTGAATTACAAATGACAATGCGCCCCTGACGCAGCCACCATCCCAACAAAATCCTGGTGGCTTAAGTTCGTCCACCGAGTCTGCAATCATGTTATTTGGTCTCGCAGCTCCGGCCATTGCGCGCGCCCGTTTTTCTTCGGGTGATGAGGCCTTGCCACATCCGCAGATGCCGCCTTCCAATTGGATGAGATATGGGCAGCCTTCAAAACAGTCGGTTTGGTATTGACAGGCACGGAATTGAAAACGCCGGGTGGGCTGTATGTTGTCGACACAGCAGTCCCACTCGTCAGATCTCAACTATCAATCACATTCAAATCAGCTTGCGAGACCTGCAAGGGCACGTCCGGATTTTCGGTGACAAAAGTGTTTCAATACGTGACGACTTGAAGGTTTGGAAATCCTAATCCAGAGTGTTGCGAACCTAGCGTGATAATCTCTGTGATCTCACAGCTTATTACGGGGCTCTGCCACCAGATTTTCGCATCCAGCGCCGGCTCGCATCTTGATCAGCTTAGCACAGCGTGTTCAAGGGAGTCCAGGCCGATGGCACAACAACTTCATGGGATCAACGGGTCAACATGACGGTGGCGAGCAGAACGCCCATCTGAGATTTCATGACAAACAAGCTTGGACATGTTTGTCGCCCGCAACCAACGTGCTGTATGTGCGGTGTCGGTTGCCATTGCAAATGCTGCAGCAGTGAGTCGGCGACGAGTTCCTGTTGCAACTATCGATGCGTGACGATGCGGGGCAGTGCGTGGCTTTTCATGGGCTGTGCCGCAACTCGAGGGGTCAAGCACCCCACTCTGCTCAACAGATCGCATTTAAGCAAGCGGCGACCCCATTGGGACACGCGGGCTTGGAGTCTGTTGCGCTTAGAATTGTGTTTTTCAACGATCTTGTCAGAACTTAAGTTCTTGTTAGCAGGCCGGGACGTGCTACGTGATAAGGCAAAAGCCCAAGCATGCTCACGCCCATCCTCATGAGGAGAGTCTCGAAAGGAAGCACGTCCGACTACGGGAAGTCAGGTATATATGCCTTATATATAGTCAACTGCAGCGCAGGAGCCGCAGGGCCAACTCAGTGGAGGTCTTTCGCGAGCCTCCTTTCTTGCGACTGTTTTTGCAGATGGCGACGGGGCAGTCTGAGGGGGGAGCCTGATGTTGAGGTCGTCTCCTTGGAGGGCCGGCCCGGGCTCCCAACGACATGTCCCTTGCCAACACATGACTCGTTTGGACGAGCCACTCCCTCCCTCTTCGATGAACTGGTGTCACTTGCGGATTCGACAAAAGGAGGAACACTGAGCTGACAACGACCGTGGCT